TGTTTGTTGTAGGTCACCGTAAATCTAACATCACTTTCCATTTCCATTCGCACTGGCTCAAGCAATGATGCAAAGGGCACAGGAGGCCGGCACAAGCAGATCAATCAACGTGATGATGAGTTGGCATTATCTCGGCGATGCGTCGGTTCTCGGAAAAGAATCGAGAAAATGAGAAGGGAACGATGATGGCGAAGAGGACAAAAAGCTCTCGTTGTTGTTGTTTGAAAAACAACAGTTTAGCAGCAGCCGCAAGCGGAGCAAGTGGACCAGAGACGGAAGGAGTTGCCACCCCAGCTCCAGACCTTGATGGCGCAGTTGAGGTTGCTGTTGAAGTCGCAAGGAGCGTTACCGCCAGAGCTGTTGTGAAGAATCGAGATTGTGAGAAGCGATTCAATCATCAATTGAGGAGAATCAGAAATTTCATCTTGTCGGGCGGCCACAACGTACCACTGACCCCAGTTCTGGTCATTGATCTGCCAGAGACCAATGTCGTAGCTGCCGTCGTAGTTCTGGTTGGCAGCGTTGAGGTTACCTGCAACGTTTGGAGATGAAAGATTAGATCATGTAGAACAAAAAAGAATGAAAAGCGAATGAAGAACGAAGAGAGCATGACGGTACCGCCGCTCTCGTGGTTGGCAATGCACTGGCAGCAGCCCTGGTCCCAGCCGCTGAACTGCGAGCAAGCAGAGCCGACGTCGACGTAGCTGGACGAGTAACCGCAGGGGCACGACGAGCAATCGTTGGAGGGGCAGTTGCCCTGTGCAGTCGCCAAACGAATCGCAGAAGAACGTTGAAAAGAGATTAGGACACAAGATGAAGACGAGGCAAAGAGCGTCGGGGAAGGGCCGGAGTGGCCGCAAGGAGGGAACTACTTACGCCGCACGTGTCAGCCTGGACGAGCAGGGGGACGGCGAGGAAGAGCGCGAAGAGGAAGAGGACGGCCTTCATCTTGATGTGGTGTGTGGTACTATTTTTTCGAGCTTGCCGGACTTGTTTTGGGTTGTTGGCGCTCGTATGATTGGTGCCTGGACGGCCAATCGTACCATGCTATGTATGCCTCATAAACCAGACCACGCCATCAAAACCGGCCGATCGCCTCTTTTATCCCCGATTTATCCCAGAATGAGAAATTGGGATTCGTATTCGAAAAGTTGCAAGCACGGAAAGAAATGGTTTGCGCAAATCGAGAAACAAAATTAAAATAATCAAAGATGAGGCGGGCAGCAAGTGAGTTGAGAACGGCCTTTCGTCCGTTGGGCTGTGGGATCGGTGGTTGGTCGACGCATAGAGGCCGATGCATTGGTTTGCGCCAGTTTGCCTCCAGCAAAGGTACATAGATTCAATTTATGTGCTGCTTTCATTTAATGTTAATGCAAGTGCTCTGGCAGACGACGTGCAGCCACTGCGGCCGCAGGTACCAGGCATGTTGTGGTCTCTTCCTTCTCTCCTTCGTTCTAACTGTCATAGGGCAGGGCACCGTCATTGAAGGTGGACAGGAGGTGAAGGGCACAGACATCGAGGGCGGTACACCAGTCGAAGACTATGAAACAGTCATCAAGGCACCTCCTCCTTCTCATACTCGTTGCTCCGCCATTGTTGCGCTTGGCGCTGCCACTCAACAGTTCTCTCTTCATTACACGTATCTGAGTGCAGGGCGCAAAGACGCAGAAGCTCCCACCGCAGCAAGAGATCGCCCAAGAGATCGGCGGCATCGTCAAAAAGTACCGTGCAGCCTCCATTTCCACGCACGCACCGCGCGCTCGTGTCTTAGTTGCGACGGCTCCTCACGGTGTGTCCGCGTACTGCAGGTACCACAACGACGGGACTAGCGCCGATGACGATGTGAAGAGTGCGCCGAACGCTAGGAAAGAGCTGGGAGGCCACGACAAGGCCGACGCCGAGATCCATGTGGTGGTCTCGCGAGTGCGCAGGCAACAGATCGAAAAGGCTCGCGCCAGCGGCGCACTGAAGGGCGTCGTGGTGGAACGGCGATGACGATGGTCGTGCAGTTGCTTGTGCGCTCACCCTGCAGCCAGATGAAATGAATCAATAACTCTAGAGACACACACAAAACGCCAATGAGAAGCGTAGATGAACAGTCGACCTAGATGGATGATGCTCCAAACACGCTGACGCACCCGTGAAACACAGCAAGCAACTCCCTGACCGATCACGGCACTTGCGTGTGGTTGTAGATGAGTAAGAATTCCAGGCGTGTGCAGTCAAAAAGGCTTTGAATATTTCAAATATCTTACAATGGCGGTGACTATTTTCCTTCGATTTTTTCGTTCCCTTCATACTTGACGGCCGTCGCAGATCTTCACCAGGCCGAAGGCACCAAGCAGCAGATCAAGTAGGTCGAGGTACACTCCAGTCTTTTCTTCCAACGCGACTTCGTATTGGTTCTTCTGCCTGGTGAGGTTGGTCGCTTCAGCTACTAACAGATCCAATCTCCTGCTCTTGATCAGCAGATTCGGGGAATCGAATGCAAGCGGTAGCAGCAACGCCGCAGCACGTTGTGGGTAGAGATGAAGGAGAAGACGCGGCCGTGCCACTGAAAAAGACGCGAAAGAGGACCCGGTCCGAAGAGGAGGAGGAAGAGGCTGGCCCCGCCTCCAGCAAACGTGGCGCTCGAGAAGAAGATGGTGAGGAGGGCGGCAAGGGGGACGAAGGAAGCGAGGAGGGCGAGACCTCGAGCCCTGCCGACGATGCTTTGTCGGGTGGCACGGCTACGACGTTGAGGAGAAGGCGAGGTGGAGGTGCTACCGCCGCCAGACGGAAGACCGCCCAACGAGGGTCGCGATCGTTGTCCCCCACCTCTACCTCGTCGCGACGTCGGCAACGGGTGCAGCACAGGTGCGTTTCCTCCACCCACCTCACGTTCGCTGCTCCTACGCGTCCGTTTGAGGTCACAATCAATCTGCCACCACACATCGGTAACCTTCTTCGGCTCTTGTCCGAATTCCTCAAATTGAAGACCTTCATCACCCACTACACATCTTCATCTTCCAGCACACCCGGCACGCCCTCAGCGAAAGCTCGGACGTGAACGACCTCTGCTCAACCTCTTCTTGCTTCACGTTCGTGGGTGGACCGACGACAGGACCGAAGAGGAACAGCCGGCAGCAGCACAGGAGGCGGAGGTGGAAGAAGAGCAGCACACCACGCACGTTATGGAAGAAGAAGAAGAACCAGACAAAGGGAACGGCGAGGCCGAGCCGGACCAGCCACCCCACGGGGCCAGCGGTACGTTGACCCTTCGTGTTGGATCGAATCCGAGAGATGTGGTTGGGAATGAGCAAGAATCACTCTTCTCCACATCTCTCCACCACTTGTTTCTTTATTTCTATTTAATTATGTAATTATTACCACTTTATATTTTTATCATTTATTGGTGCTCACCATCACTCTGTGGTACAGGCGCCCCGAAGGCAAACAACGAAGCCGCCAAGGGAGAGGAAGGAGGAGTGGCGGACGAAGAGGAAGAAGGGAAAGGCGTGGAGGATGCTGCACACGACGATAACGAATCCGATTCGGTGGACGCAGCCGTCAAGGAGGAAGAGAAGAGCGAGGAAGAAGAGGAGGGAGAAGGAGCAGAGAACGACGCTGCAGGCTCTTCCGCGATGGAGCTGGAGGCTCAGCAGAGCAATGGCACGGCCGTGTCGCCCACTCAGAACGGAGACGAGGTGAGCTCCGGAGAACCGCCCGTCACTACTTCCTCGCCATCGTCGCCCAAGAACGCGAGCCCCCGAGGCGCCGCGGCAGCAACCTCATCAATGGTACGAGCACAGGTGCTCCTTTCCAACTAAACTCGTGGGCGAGGCAGGCCATTGGCTCACTCCCGCCGTCTGGCCAGCAGAAGAAGGCCGATGAAAAGAGCACGAGTCCCCCGTCGCAGTATGCCACTCGCCGGCGGACAAGAGGGATGGCCCAGGAGAAGGAGAAGCAGCCCAACGGTAAGCCCGGCACCGCCGCTATAATGCATGAAAAAGGTGCTGATATGGGCAGGTCTGACCTATTTTTTTAGTACAAAACGTCAGGAGGGGATTTTATCACGGGCCAGGAGGAGATCGATCAGTACATCCTCGGATGCAAAAGGTGGTCCATCCACTCCACTCAGCTACTTTCCTCCTTCACATTCCCTGTTTTTATATATCTGACTTATGCTCACTTCTCGTTGGCAACAGCAACGATGCCGCGACCAAGTCCAGCGGCGAAACAGGTAACTGCTACAGCGCTCTTGCATTGCTTTGAGCGACTGCACGTTAGTCTCTAATTCAACCCATCAACAGTTGGTCCTGTGCTATACAAGCCCGGCGAAGAGTTCCGAGGCCTCAAGAAGCACGTGGGGAAGCGCCTGGTGGTGCACATCGAAGCCAAGCACATCACCACCACAAACGATCAGGTACCACCTGCAGGCCTCGTTACGCTCTCTCCCCGGTGTCCATCCGTGCAAACTCAATCCTTGCGCAGGTGACCGAGCGACAGATCTGGGGGCAACAATGGCTACACCGCCGACTCTGACCTGATCTGCGGTAAGGTTTCTTTCTTTCGGTGTTTGCCGCAGTCTCCCCCCCTAGGTGCACCCAGCAATGCTGATTGATCTGCCTTGCTCTTCTTCGCACAGTGTTGCTCCACACCGGCAGCCTGAAGACTATCACTGCCGAGCCGCCTGACTACTTTGGCATTGCCCTCTACATGTACATCTTGCCAGGTACGCTAACGCTACATGCTCCATTTAAAATAGAAGTAGTAGAAGAAAGGCGAACGGCTCACCCGCCCCAATTTACGCCCACGCAAGGCAAGAGCAGCTATGTCGGCACCAAGCGAGGAACTATGCGATCACGCAACTGGTCGGACCACGACGTCACCCTCAAGCTCGACGTACGCTCCCTTTCGATTGCATTGCAACTGCACTGCAATTGCTTACTTGCCAGTTTGCTACGACGCGCGTGTATTGCGCCTCGCGCAGAGATTTGAGGTGCTACCGACGAAGCCCGACGACTGGGCCAGCTCGGAGCAGGTGGACGGAGCGAAGAAGAGCAAGAGCAAGAAGGCGACGGCGACCGATGAGGGTGGCAAGAGTAGGAAGAGGCGGAGGAAGGAGGCCAACGACAAGGTCTCACCGGATGACGCCGTGGCCACCGAGAAGGAGGACCCGGAAGCCGACGACGCCGCGACGTCGACAACAATGACGACACGATCGGGTGGCTCGCGGTCGCGGTCGCGACCAAGCCGATCTCGCGCCAGCGCCCGAGCGCCGAAGGAAGAGCTGGCGCCGCTGACGTCAGCGCCGACGCCGACGGCCAAGAATGAAATGTCTGCGGCGTCGCCGTCAGCAGTCACGCCAGCAGCACCGGGCAGGGAGGCTGCGACGGCTGCGGTCAAGCAGGAGCCTCAGGCCGACGACCCGGACGCCGAGGCCGAGGCCGACGAGGAGGCAGGCGGCGACGAGCACGCTCCGCTCACCACGACGACCACGACGACCACCTCCACTTCGACCGCCAACATGTCGCGAATGTCGACACGAAGCGGAAGGCAGCCGCCGGCGGCGTCGGCGAGCAAGAAGCGATCAAGGCGGCGGCCGCCCAGCGGTGGAAAGTCTTCGCGGTCCAGCCGGAGCCGACCACAACTGGTCACGGCTGGCGGCGGCGATTGGGAAGAGGGTCGGGCGGGACGAACGCCGGGCAGCGACGAAGGGGAGATAGACGGAATGAAGGAAAGCGACGGCGCCGACGCGCCGCTGGCCGACGAAAGCGACAGCGACGACACCGCGCTGCGGGTGAAGAGGAACAAGATCGCAGGCAACATGAAGCTGCTGGAGAAGGTACTTTGCTCATTCATTGCTGTTCAGCACAGAGCCCCAACTCCCCAGCGTGACCATCGCTCACTCTTTTTTAAAACACAAAGATTGCGCGATTGGACCGGTGGATGCCGCTGCCCACGGACGTGATGCGATACAATCTTTCCTATGAGCCCTGGTACGGCGCGCTCCATTGCCCCAGCCCCTAACACGCTCTACAATTAGCGGGCGAGCCACTCACCACTCACCACCACTACGGTACCACTGCAGCTATCACTACTCGTTAGGCATGCTGGCCGACCGCGGGTTCGAGAGCGATTTCTGGTTCTCCACCAGGCTGCGCTCCTTCACGCTCTACCTGGAGAACGACTCACAGAGGTGCGCACTGCGCCCCTTCCTTGCCCATCGCTGCGTTGGTAGCACCACCCCCACCACCACATGCCGTCGGCTCACAGATTTTCATTTTCCGTTTTTAAAAGATTCGAATTCAGCTACAGCGGGGAGGCAACGCAGGTGGAGCCGTCGGTGGACGCCCTTCTGGGCAGCCAGGCTCTTTCCTTCCTCTCCTTCTTCTCACCCACGCGGATGCCCCCCAGCACCACCGCGCCGCCAAATACCAACTCTGAAGCAAGCGAGATCACGTCTCTGCGGCCAGGTACCTACGCGCCTTCTCTTCTCTCACTACGCTGACGCGGTCTCGCTCACTCTCGCGCTCCCATCATCGCAGACGGCAAGAAGCCCACAAACCGCAGTCCCCAGGACGAAGCGCTCCTCGAGGCCGAGAACCACAATCGCATACGGGTGGCCTATGGCCACTACCGATGGGCCGAGGTATAGAGGCCACTCGCTTTCGCTCTTTGCTCTCCGGCCCGACGCGCAACCAAACCCTTGTTTTCCCCTGCAGGTGCAGCGCCCATACAGTATGGACCGAGCAGAGCTGAAGCGGGTCGGAGTGCCCTTGCCCAACGACCCAGCAAGCATCTCGGTTCGCGCCCATTCTTCACCGCCCATTATTCACCGCACACGCACACGCACACGCACACGCACACGCACACGCACACCTCAGCAACACCACAACACCGGACGGACCTGCACTCATTCCATGTGTTGGCTGCACAGGTCCTGGCGGCGGAGCTGACGTGGGAGGAAGTGGCGTGGGGCGAGGGCTCGGTGTGCGTCCGCGGGACGACCTACCCCGTCCATTCGCTCTTCTGGATGCCACGAAGCCGCAGCCCTTCGTCCTCCCTCGCTGAAGACTGACAGTCCTCTTCTGGGCCGGCAGCTGCTCGTCTGCTGCACCCCCCTTGAACCATTTTTGAAACAAAGAGGAGAGATCTGCGAACCACCGCACGTGTTCTTCTTCTTCCTCTTCTAGAAGGTCGTGCATGTATGGCGGTCTGACCAAGGCTCGAGCCCACCAACCGGACGCGACGAAATCGCGGTTGACCGACACCTGAAACAGGATTGAGAAGAGACCACTCATTGTACACAGCATCACAGACACCACCCAAGCTAGAACCTCATCCACTCTCAGAGCAGACAGACATGGCCGAGCTCCTGCTGCGCATCGTGACTGGTTCGACCAAAGCCCCCCCCCCCACTTGGTATTGTGTAGTACCTGACCGGTTGTCTCGCTCTCCACGTGTCCCAGGCTTTTGGGCCTCGAAGGCCCTCCACGCTGTAGCCGAGATGGGCGTAGCCGACATCATCCACCAACACGTAACCCCCCCCCTCTCAGATGCCAATGTTCTTATATATTCTTAGGCCACATACCATTTTTATATATTTACAATTTATATTTTTATTTGCACTGTTCGTTGTGTGGTTCGCAGGGAGGACCGGCCACGGCGGAGGAGATCGCAGCGGCGATTCCTGACACCGACCCGCGCTCCCTGTTCCGCGTGCTGCGCTTCGTGGCCAGCATCGGCATCCTTGACATGTAGCTCCACGGTTCGCCTGACGTACGTCTTTGAATCCCTAGCGTTGTGCGCGTGCGTGCGTGTGGTGCGTGTGCGTGCGTGCGTGTGGTGCGTGTGTGCGTGTGCTGCGTGGTGTGCGTGCGTGCGTGCGTATGCGCTGATAGGCGGCAACTTCTCAAACGCGCTTTTGCCGTTTCCGCATAGGACGTGGCGTATCACCGGACGTTCAAGTTCGGGCTCAATGACACGAGCCAGCTGCTGCGCTCTGACGTCGAGAACTCCATGCGCTCCTCTGTTCGTCTCGAAGCCGGCTACGCTCACTACACGTGCGCACCCACCGCCCACCGCCCACCACCGTCTTACTATGACGCTCTTGACTGAGGTCTTGGGCTGGGACAGGGCGTGGTCGGGTTTCCTGGACGCGGCCAAGACCGGCAAGCCCTCGGTCAAGGCCACTCTGGGCACCGACTCGGCCTGGGACTACTACGAGACCCACCCGCATGAGCAGAAGGTCTGTGCGTCGTCTTCTCCTTTTTGATTGGACGTTTTATACTATGTTATTGTAATACTGTGCTATAAAATTAATATATATACTTCTCTCATTAATATATATATATATATTTCTTATATGTTACATACGACAGATCTTCAACGCGGCGATGAGCAACTTCACGGCCAAGGAGATCCACGACGTGCTGGGCAACTACGACTTCTCGGGCCTCACCTCCATCGTCGACATCGGCGGCGGCCTCGGCACTCTGCTGTTCGCCATCCTGCGCAAGTACCCCGGCATTCGGAAGGGCCACCTGTTCGACCTGCCCAGCGTGGTGAGGGACGCGGTGGTGCCGGACGACCTCAAGGACCGGGTCGAGGTCCACGGCGGCAGCTTCCTGGACGACGAGGCAGGCATCCCGGCGGGCGCCGACGCCTACATCATGAAGCACATCATCCACGACTGGGACGATGAGAAGGTGCGCACATACACGGCACGCACGGCACGCACGGAACACATGACACGCACGGCGCATGACACACGACGTGATACGACACGCAGTCGGAGGTGATCTTGAAGGCGACGAAGAAGGCGATGCCGGACCACGCCAAGGTGCTGCTGGTGGAGTACACCGTGCCCCTCGGACCTCAGCCAAGCATGGCCAAGGCACTCGACCTACGTACGCCGGACTTCTCGTGTCGTTGGTCGTGTCGTGTCGTTGGTCGTGTCGTTGGTCGTGTCGTTGGTCGTGTCGTTGGTCGTGTCGTTAGTCGTGTCGTGTCGTGTCGTGTGCTGCTCACATTTTTTGTTCTGGGACAGACATGATGACCCTGCTGGGCGCCAAGGAAAGGACCAAGGCCGAGTTCACCGCCCTCTTCCGCAATGCTGGCCTTGAGCTGAGCCAAGTGGCCGGCGCCGAGGGAGAGGTCAACGTCATCGAGGCCCGTCTGCCTCAACAATAACCCAAACATTGCATTTTTTTTCAGTTATTATTTGTATTTTTGGTATATACTTATTTTAATGCTTATTTACGCAACTAAAAATTGTTATATTTAAATAAATAAATAAATAAATAAATAAATCACTTACGCTTCAGGTGGAAGCAAGGCGGGCGAGCAGCGCACGCTCGATGTAGGCGAGGTCGGCGAGGTTGGAGTACATGTCGTCGTACTCGGTGGCCTGGCGCACCAGCCACAGGGCGCTCTTGCCGTCTCTCGTGCGCAGGCCAGGATCGGCGCCGTGGGCCAACAGGAGCTCCACCATCTCCCTGTCGGTCGGGCGCGTGTCAACACCACCCCTCGCGTAGTTGTGTGCGTGTGTGTGCGTGTGTGTGCGTGTGTGTGCGTGTGTGTGTGTGCGTGTGTGCGTACACGCTTTCACGACACACGGCGCGATGCAAAGGCGCGTAGCCGCCGGCGTCGAGCGAGTTGGGCTCCGCCCCGTGGCGCAGCAGCACCCGGGCCACCGCCGTTCGGTAGCCGCGCGCAGCGTCGGCCAACGGACATCCATGGTTCGGGTCAGCGCCTTGGTCGAGGAGGTACTGGGCCATGGCGACGGTGGCGGCGGCGGACAAGGGAGTGGCCGAGTTGATGTCGAGGCCGAACCGTATGAACAGGTCCACCACCCGCTCATTGCCGGAGAGCACGGCCGCGTGACAGCCTGTTTGTTTGGTCGTCGCGCCCACGGCTCAGGTCACCAACCAACCAACCAACACCGCACACACGGCACAACGCACGACACGCACCCGCACACACCAATTTGCAGTGCGTCTGGGCTGCATTTGCCGCTGAGGAGCAGCAGGGCCACGAGCTCCTCGATTCCCGTCTTCGCGGCGCTTGCCATGATGCGGCTGGGCACCGTTTGCTCGCGCATGACCGCGTGGCCCAGGAGCATGCGCGCTGCGTCCACCTGCCGTGCGTCGATCGCGCACGTAAGAAGCCTCTGCCACGTTTGTTTCGGACCCCCGGCGCGGGCGTTCTCCGCTTCTGTGTCCGTGAGTCGCGAGTGTCGCGTGTGTCGCGTGTGTCGCGTGTCGCGTGTGTCGCGTGTGTCGCGTGTGTCGCGTGTGTCGCGTGTGTCGCGTGTGTCGTGGTGAGCGGGCTAACGGCAAGCAGGGGGAAAGGTGGGTGGGCTCACGGGTGAAGTTCTTCTGGTCCCAGAGAAAGAGCAGGCGCGAGGCGATCTCCGTGCGTCCGTTCCACACCGCCAGGTCGAGCGCCACCTGCAGCACCCGGTCGCTGTCGATGAACACCGTCCACGACTCCGCGCCTTGCCGCGCATTCCCCCGTCAGGCAGGCCTAGTGGAGGAAGGTGCGCAGCGCAGGCGGTACCGGCGTCGGTGAACTGGTGGAAGAAGCACTCAACCACTTCGGTGTGGCCCGCCACGATGGCGGCCAGCAGCGGGTTGGGCGACTCACTGTTGTACCTCGGGTCTCGACGGGCCACTGATGACACGACACACGACACACGACGACACGACACGACACGCAACACAACACGACGCAACACATGTAGTCAGCCTGGTGGCTGATGGTGTCGGGCAGAATGTGTGGGTGTGGCGTTGAGGCATTCCATACAGAGAGCGGGGACGAGGCCGGCCAGTCCGCGTTCGCAGGCCCAGCACAGCTTTTCGTCGTTGAGCGCCTCGACTCGCTCGAGCCGCCGCTCTGGGGAGTCATCGCCGCTCGATGCAGCCGCCTCCGCGGCCTGTGCGTAGCGGCGGTCCCACTGGTCCAGCCACCGCACCACGGGAATGCAACGCGCCCGATGGTCGGCGGCTGCGCGACCCAACCGGGCGGACTTAGCGGCGGCGCCGAAGAGGGCGCGGCAGTGGGCAAGCCAGAGGGCGCGGTCGAGCGACATAAGGCGCCAGGCCTGGCACACCCGCGCCACCCTGCCCACCATCTGACACAACAATAAAGTAAATTTAAAAAAATTAGTAAACAATACAGAAATAAAACAAACAATATTGTCCTTTTGAAGCATACGTCGAGGGGTGGCAGGAAGGAAAAGACTGTGAGTTGGACTTCGCCAGGCAGCCCAGCCCAGGTGAGGCCAGGTTCTGCTTCTTCCATAACTCAAGAAAGAAAGTAAAATTGTTAGATAAAACCGCAAAAAGGAAAACACTCTTTTAAAGAAATTCAAAAAGATGAGCAGCAAGACGATGCGCGCGGTGTCGGTGGGCGAGCCGGGCACGGTGGCAGACGACGTGCCCAGGCCCGAACTGAAGCACGCCTATCTGCTGGTCAAGATCACTGCACTCAATCATGCCCACACGGGCCAGCAGTACGCACCATGTTTTAATAATTAGTATAATATGTATAATAATAATGTTCTTAATACGATAATATTTCTATATTATTGAGAAGAATATGTCGAGTTATAGGCCTTCTATCTATACAAATAGAATTTAATAAGATTCCTTGCAGGCTGCCCAAGTATCCGCCTCCGCAGGGCGACCCTGCGGTGCTGGGCCTCGAGATGGCGGGCGTGGTCGAAGAGGTCGGCGAAGGTGTGACCTCGTTCAAAGCCGGCGATCGCGTGTGGTACGGTCTGTCAAACACATTCCCTCGTCCAGGGCAATCATCCCCGCCTTATCATGTTTGATCGTGTCGTGTCGTTGGTCGTGTCGTTGGTCGTGTCGTGTCGTTGGTCGTGTCGTTGGTCGTGTCGTGTCGTGTGCGCGCGCGTGTGACCCGGGCAGTGCGCTGCTTGGCGGAGGCCTTGCCGAGTACTGCGTCATCCACCAGGACACCGCCATGCACGTACGGGCTGCTGTCCATCACACTCTTTTTCCTGTGTGTTTTGTGGGTGTGTGTCGTGTGTGTCGTGTGTGTCGTGTGTGTCGTGTGTGTCGTGTGTGTCGTGTGGTGCGTGTTGTGTCATGTAGTTGGCCTCATCCCCCTCCCACTTCGTGTGCATTCTTCAGATTCCCGAGAACTTGTCTGACGAAGAGGCGGCGGCCATTCCGGAGGTCTTTCTCACGGCCTACCAGGCGCTCGTGTGGATCGGCGGCCTCGAGGCCAACAAGCGCGTCCTCATCCACGCCGGCGTACGCTCGCCCCCCCCCTCTACTTCTACTCTCCCCCGCCCTCTTCTTTATGGCGTACATGTGGTGTTGACATCATCCGTTGGTCTGTCACGCGTCTAGTACAGCGGCGTAGGCACATCCGCCATTCAACTCGCCAAGCTGTTCGACAACACCCAGGCATGTGTCGTGTGCTGTGTGTTCTGTGTGTGCGTGCGTGCGTGCGTGTGGTGTTGGTGGGCTGACGTTTCGTAACCACGCAGGTGATCATCACGGCGTTGAAGGATAAGCTGAGCTTCTGTCACGAGGTGGGCGCCGACGAGACCATCGACCTCCGCGAAAACGAGGGCAGATGGGCCGACAAGGTGCTCTCGCTCACCGGAGGCAAGGGCGTTGACATCATCATCGATGTCGTCGGAGCGCCGTTCTGGGAGCAGAACCTGGCCGCCCTCGCCATGGGTACGCCCTTTCATCTTCGCTTTCGCTTTCTCTTTCGCTTTCATTTTCGCTTTTTGTTGTTAATTCAAACCAAAAATGCAGACGGCACGCTGGTGCTGCTGGCGTTCTGGAGCGGCTCCCAGATCTTCAGTTGCGATGTTGTGGCCATTCTGCGCAAGCGGTACAGGCCTACTTTAGCGAGACTCAAACGCCCTTTTTGTTCTAACACCACACACACCACACACACACACACACCACACATAACACACAACACACACACTACACACACCACACACCACGCACACACCGCGGTCGTTGGGTTGTCTCTGTGCAGGTTGAGCATTCGCGGATCGACGCTGAGGGCGCGCTCGCTCAACTACCAGATGAAGCTCACCAAGGTAAGTAGTACGAGAGACATGTGTATCACATAGTCCGCATTCCTCTCTTGTATGTGGTGTCGTGGCTTACCAGTTACACGCCCTGGGTAAGGAATTTGAGGCATTCGCGATGGACAAGTTCGAGGGGCGACTCAAGGCCGTCAAGACCTGCTCGTGGGCTGACACCCGTAGGTACCTGGAGAGCGGTCATAGGTTGGGCAAGATTGAGTAATCAGGCTTCATCGAGAGAATGTCAAGTGTTGCCGTGCACTGGTTCTTCTTCGCCGTTGATGATAACTAGGCTTCAAGACCGATCTTGCTCTCTTCTTTCGTTCTTCGTCGTGGTCGTTGTTGTGGTTGTCGTCTTCTCCGCCGGCTGATCGCACTAACAAGAGTAGAGCCGAGCGGCGAAACAGGCCAGTGCCGGCAGAACGAGCAGTGGCGCGGCGACCACCAGCAGCAGCGACCGGGCCGCGCCCGCCGCCCGCGAACTGGGCGCGGATGCGGCAGTTGCTGCGGCCGTAGACGAGGGGTTCCACAAGCCCTACTCGATAAGGCCAAGAGGGATGGCGTGGCACTGGTCGTTGCTGACCTGGCGCTGAGCGAAGTTGGCGGCAGCGGTTGACGAGCTCAATGACGCCCGAGAGCAGGTTGGATGCTCTGGGCCTCTGCACAACAGCTGATGCCCTACACCCTCTGCGTGATTTTTTTATTTTTAAGAATCATACAATCCCCACATCTCTGGGTAGTCTCACGTGCGACCTCCACCAAGATGAAGATGGGGGCGGGGGTGTACAAAGAGTAATACAATTCTTCTCCTGCCACCGGTACTCGCGATGGTCGATGATGGGGTATTGATACACAACTAGACACACTCCACTCCTCCTTCTCTCTCTCTCTCTCTTCTCTCCGGTCCAGAGGTTGTGCGGCGGTGGTGCTTTTCTCCTCGGCGTACCGGCCTCGTCTCCCCCCTTAGATCTGTTTACACCATCATCTCGATGTAGGCGGACTCGTTCTTCTCCTCGTGCGCCACGAACAACTGCGAGTACTTGGAGCCCTTGACCGCACGCTGTAGAGAAGAAGAAGAAGGGTAAAAGTGTCAGCTATTGTCGTGGAAGAAGAGACGCTTGAGAATGAAGTTGCCGTTGTCTTCTTCATGCGATAATACGAGCATTCAGGAGATATTTGGATAATGGTTATAATCAGAGATGAAAATCATTACCGTGGTAAAGACATCACTATGCTCCAACATGAAGACGAACGGTGAAAGGTGCGAGGTGTCGAGAGACGTACCTTCAGGTAGAGCTCCTTCCTGTTGGCCTTGATGAGCTTCGGGAGAGATGGGTACTCCGCATTGCCCAAGAGGAAGCCCAAGCCGGCCTTGTGCTTGATGCGGTAGTGCTTCAGCGCGTTCTCTTCGGACATGGCGGTGATGGTGTAGAAACCGGGCTGCTGCGTGCTGAACCTGACCATGTACTGGCCCTGTACGTACAGAGTAGGTAGGACAGACACCGGTGAGTGCACTAAATTGGCTGGCAAGCCTGCCACAGGCGCGAAGGTGAGAAGCAGCTCCGTACCGCTTTCTTGCCGGCCATGATCTGCTCGGCCTCTTGGCTGGAGATGTCGCCAAAGAAACCGCTGATGGAGATGGTGTCCTGCACGTTGTCCATGAACTGACGATCGAGCGTAAAGGGTCCAAACCACTCCAGCGCTCTGCTGAAATTTTCGATCGTCACCACGTCCTCCTTGTTCGCTGTTGGGTCGAAAGGGTTCGCGATTAGTCCAACGTGTGGGGCAGTAGGTGTGGGCAAGAGACGCATGACAAACCTAGCACCAGCTTGAGCGACTTGACTTCAATTTGGTCGTCAATGACAGAACCCTGGGGGAACTCGATCTTGCAGAAAGTGACCAGCTCTCGAATGAAAGTCTAAAGAGGCGAAAGTCCAGACATCAGTCGGGGTCAGGGCCAGGGAACGAGGAGGGAAAGCACGCACCTTCCACTTCACGGCCTCGAGGATTTCGTCCTTTTCGGTGAAGCACTTCTTCCAGAAGGCACGGGCGTCTTGGTTGGTGTTGCTGATGATGGCGTCGACGATCACTGTTCAGAAGAATGAAAAAAAAAAAAACGTTGTGAGTCGTGGGGACAAGAGATGAGATAGAGATGAGAGGGAAGCCTGGAACAATAGAAAAAGGAAAGGTGTAGCGAAAACAGAGACGGATGTGCGTGGATAAGATTGAGCACATCCGCTTGTAAGTTTCGCGGACAAGGCCGGCGTTCGACCTCGCCCAACATTCAATATGCCACAGTGACAAAGTGTACACGCCATGGGTGTGGGCATGCAACCAATAACAAATGGCTCAATCCAATCGAGCACTGCACAGGGCCAAGGCGCTGGAACGGAAAAAGTAAACAACGATGTACCTTCATCAAGCAGGTGTGAGTCGATGATGCTCTGGAACGTGGGCCTCTGGGCAGGATCGGTGTCCCAGCACTTCTTAATGAGCTCCGACAGCTGAGGCGGGCACTCAGCGGGAATCTTGGGTCGAGCGCCATCGATCACCACGTGGTCGTAGATTTCTGTACAGGCGCAATGGGGGGGGGGCGTGAGTATAAAGCGAGGTCACCAGCCAGCGAATGAGATCTGTAGTACCGTCCAAGGACTCGAACTGCTCCTCCTCGTAGGGCTTCTTGTTGGTCACTAGCTCCCACAGCACGACAGCAAAACTGAAGACGTCGGCCTTTTCGTCGTAGGCCTTGTCCGCCAAAACCTCAGGCGCCATGTACACGGGCGAACCGGTGGCGCCCTTGTTCTTGTCCGCCTTCTTCACTCTGTTTGGTGAGAAGGGCGCGAGCGAGCAGGAGCGTGAGCGTGGAGAATACAGAATTGAGCGTTGAGTGAGCGGCACTGTACCTTGAAAGACCGAAATCCGACACCTTCGCCACCCAATTTTGATCCACCAGCAGATTTGCGGTCTTAAGGTCGAGATGCCTGTACCGCACCAATTGTAACAGCGTCAGTGGCAGCGCAATGAAACGCGTAGGGGGGAGGGCTTGATCGTACAGGATAGGAGGATTGGACAGATGAAGCCAATTCATGCCCAGGCAAGCATCTTTGGCAAACTTCATCCTCTGCTTGAAAACGATCTTCCGCTTCGCATCCTTGTGCAAAAGATCGAACACGCTACCTGGAAGCATTTAATTTGGTGAGCGAAATGTTCAGCCAAGATGAGGAATGGGACGGAAAAGTCACCTCGTGCCATAAGCTCAGTGACCATGATGAGTTTGAGCTGATCGCTCTGGGCCTTGCGATCGATGCAGACGCCCATCAGCAGCAGCACGTTGGGGTGCAAGAGCTTGCTGTTAATTTGAGCAAGGGAAGCAAGGTGAGTGTGGTACTAGCTACTCCGCTCAAACACTGCACTCGAAAGCAGTACCTCATAACAGCGCACTCATTTCTGAAATCATCCAGAATTGAGTTGATCTCATCTGCGTCATACTTCGGCGTGCTGCGGCGAAGGAGGAAGTGAGCTTCAAAGGAGGCGATGGATGGAGGTAAGAGCGGGGAGAGTGTACATAGTCTTGATGGCCACCGATTTGCCGCGAAGCTTGCCTTCCGTGACGGAACCGAACGATCCCTCGCCGAGCTTGTTCGTTCCGAAGGCGATTTCTTCGCTCCTGAGCTCCCAAGTCGAGATGTCGTGGTCCAGCTCAGCGCCACCTGCTTGTTGTCTAGTATGAAATGCTCGCAAATTAGCCGCAGCTCGCGATGAAATTAATTTGGAAGTGTTTGCGAAACGTACTGCTCCTCGAGGAAGGGGTTGGGACCCTTGAGTGCAGCGCGCGAGCTCTTACCGAATACGCGAGTGCTGAGCTCGTCGAGCTGCCGCGGAGCCACCGAATTGGAGAAGATGGACCTACTACTCGCCAGGCCGCCGCTCTTGCTCAACTTGCTCTGCGATTCCTGGAGACGCTCTCGTCTCTCTTTCTGTGTCGCGTCGAGCCAGGAGCGGCGAAGAGCGATGTGCTGGGTCTCCATCTCCACTTCTTTCTTTTCCAGCTCCTCGAGCGCATCCAACAGCTTATCGTCAAACTTGGAATCAATTACCTTCTGGGCGTGCTCCCTCAGTTGCTTGCGCAACGCCTTCTGCTCGCCCGCAAGCTTCTTGATCTGCTGACTCAGCCCCTTCATCTCCTTGGAGACAAATGGTTTGTTCGCTGCCATTTTCTCTAATCTGCTCTACTATCTCGGTTCTTTTCGAATGAGATGAGTGTGGAGCCCCTCCTTGTGGTATAACGAACGGATATTGGTTCGATCCGATCGACGCTCGAGCAGAGATGGAAGGAGGCAGCGAGGAGGGGCTCGTGGGTGTGAGGAGTGCAAAGAGAGCTTGCAGAAGGCTTGCGCTCGTGTGTGGTTGCCCTAACTGGGTTTGCTGTCGACCAAGCACTCGTCACCTGTCGTCCGCCTCAGCGGGCAGCGTCGCTTTGGTGTCGGCAGACCGTGGCCCGAAAGGAAAACAAGTGAAATAACTTTTCCAAATCTGGCCGCTTTCGCGCCAAAAAAGAGGCGCCAACTCTGCCAACAAAACAAACTCTTTGGCACAGCAATCGAAACAGGAAGATTCCCATCGAAGAAGCGAACGATAGAGCACAAGGATGGAGGGATTGAAGCCGATGCCGTTGCCAATTTATGTGTCGCAGGACCTGCGGATGGCCAACCCCAGATTCAATGAATTGCTCGAGCGGCTGAATGCGATCATCGCCCCAATGGGAGAAAGAAAGGCGCTCAAGGAATCCTACGAAAAGGTAAATCCTGATTCTTCAGATTCTACATCGGTTGGGCTCATCTGGCCACGAAAATTGACAACCGCAGGCGGAGGCTGCGTTGCGAGTCGAGCGAGAGCGACACCTGCGGGTGGGCGCACTCTACACCGAGGCAAAGGACATCATCGCCACACGCAGGCTCCAGTCGCGGGCCAAGGGGAGCTCCTCTCTGCCCGGTGCCACCCCCAAGGTCTATGACTCGATGCACAACGTGATCCTCGCGGCCGAGGTGACGCACAGCCTGGTCCTCGAGCCGCCGACCGCCACCGCTCCCGGGGGAGACAAGCCGACAACGCCGCACAGGGGAGAGGCCAGCGGCAAGCCTTGCGTCACCCTGCTGGGCCTGAAGAAGGAAGACATCGAGCTGGCCATCGCCAGCAAGGCTCCGAGCAAGTTTGCCGAGGTAACATTGCATTTCCTCTCACGCGTGGCAACAACTGCGCTGACTTGTTTTGTCTTCACATGTGGCTGACACTCGACGACGACGGTCTGGTCTGTGTTATGCGTGTGCTTTGCTGCAGGAGCGACAAGAGCTGTACCAATATATCATCGCCGAACTGGACGAGCGGCTACGACGAAAGGTGCAGGAGATCGCAGAGTTCAACGATCCCCTTGGCTCGCCCCAGACTCGTACCCCCACCCACCTCCCCACCGATTTATATAGCGCGCTCGGCTCGTGTTTGTTGTTTAACAACAAACCGGTTCAACGCGCGCTGTGAGCAGTGGCCAAGAGCAACAAGAAGTCGCCACCGATCGCGGAGGTCATCGCAAAGAAGAAGGAGCAGCTGCTGGCCGAGCGCAAGCAGCTGGACGTCGACGGGCTCACCGCCGCCCTCTCCTTTGCCGAGTACTGCCAGGTGCTGGACAAGACGTTCCAGGTGGTGAGCGAGATCCTGCGGGACTTCAAGCTCTCGCAGCAATTCAACCAGGACCAGGTCTACAGCAAGTGGCTCCAGGCCAACTGCCAACACCTGATCAACCGACTCAAGTGCGTTTGCCTCGCTCCCTCTTACCAATTCGCCTTTTCTCACTTTGTGTGTCGTGTGCCGTGTGCCGTGTGCCGTGTGCCGTGTGCCGTGTGCCGTGTGCCGTGTGCCGTGTGTCGTGTGTCGTGTGTCGTGTGTCGTGTGTCGTGTACGTGTCTACCCGCACAGGTTGCTGCAGAGCCAGGTGCTGAGGGACACCTATACGCCGTCGAAGGTGGCGGCGCTGACGAAGGTGCGGCAGCACCTGGAGTGCGCCATCGAGGAGACGATGGCCCAGCACGAGGAGGCCGCGGAGCAGATCCAGCGATACGAGCGCGCTGGCGCCGGCTTCGACGGCCTGGTGCGCGAGTACGCCTCTCTGCTCGAAGAGCTCGCCCAGAAGAAGTGGACCATCGAGCGCATCAAAGTATGAGCGTGCATGTGCGCTGTGAAATACACCACCTATGGTCTGTAGCGTGTGCGGTGTGTGCGGTGTGTGCGGTGTGTCATTCATCGCTCATTCGACGCAAGAGTTGCTCTTCAGCGGCGTGGAGGTCGGCCGAGAACTGGACCCAGTCTGCCGCAGTCAAAATCTCGTGGTGGCGAAAGTTGCGAGCAAATGCAAGCAGCGCCACTCTTCTGCCGTCGCCTGCATTCACCGCACACGCACCACCGCAACACACACACACACACACGCACACGCACAAGCCAGGTCAGATCACTTCCAGGCTTCCGCCGTGCAGGGGATTCCTACGCAAGATGTACTCAGCGTTGTTCTTGACCATCGTCAGAAAGCGCTCCGCAACCTGTGACCTCGGTGTCATTGTGTCGTGTGTCGTTGGTCGGGCGGTGTCTTGTTGTGGCGTTGTGGTGTCGTGTGGCGCGGCGGCTGGGAGGGGCAACCTGTTTTTTCGACCGCACAGGGTTGATGAGCTGTTCGGCATTCCACAACCACATGATGTCCTTTTCTTGGCTCGACAAGTCAGGGATGGCATACAGCCTCTGTGTGCTCATCCGATCGCATGTCAGTGCATGTGCGTGTTGTTGTCGTCGTGTGCGTGTGTATGTGTGTGCGTGTGTGTGAGTGTGTTTCGTAGAAGAAGGGTTTACCTCCTTACGGTAGGGAAGGATCCACGAGACGTCGGGCTCGTCTTCCGAGTCAACCTCGAGCTCATCCGCCCGCCCCCGCTCCCACGTGGCCGAGTGATACCACTCCGCAGTAGCCATTCTGTGTCGCAGCACAGGCCAGCCGAGCAAGTCACACACACCGGCACTTAAGCACTTGTCCCACACGACACACACGATATGAGACTACCCACAAAACACGGGCAGTGCGTACGCTTCGCGATCTCGGCGGCTAAGGTGGTGTCTGCCCTTCGTCTTGCTGGCCGGTTCCCGAGTCGCCAACTTTCGCCGTGGTGGCGGTGAGACCCGCTGTTTTGGTTTTTTCCTTTTCTCCACCTGGGCCTCCTGTCTCCTCCGGAGCTCACGCAGTCTCGGACTTCGCCTGGGCAGCGCAACCTTCTCTTCCTCTTCTTCTTCTTCCTCTTCTTCTTCTTCCTCTTCTTCCTCTTCCTCTTCCTCTTCCTCTTCATTCTCTTCAGCGGTCTGCATTGGCTTCCTCCCCAGGCCATGCAGCGCAGCAATCGCTTCTTCTTCTTCTTCGTTGGCCGCCTGTGGCTGGACCACCACCGGGCTGGGCTGCTCGGGGAGTACCCTGGTGGTGGCCTCGCACGGTGGCATGTAGGCGTCAAGCCTGAGCCCGGTCATGCGTCGCTTGCGGGCGACGAACTGGAAGGGTCGCCAGCGGTCCTCCTCTTGCGAATGATCATCCTCACCTCGCCGTCGTATAGTGATCCGAAGCACACCGCCGTCATCGTCGTTTTCGCTTTCGCTTTCGTTTTCGTTTTCGTTTTCGTTTTCTCTTTCGTTCTTGCCGTAGGTGATCACGAAGCCGCGGGCATGTTCGTTGTGGAGGTGGAGCAGCAGCGCCCGCAGCCGTGCCGCCACCCGGCCCACCACCCAATCCACTGCCGTCGCTGCCGCCTGGCCCTGAGCGATGGCCTCCTCGAGCAGGCCGAGGTCGCGCCGTAGCGCGTCGCCCTCTTCGTCGCAGCTGAGCGCGCAGCCCTTGAATGGGCACCGCAGGTCGGGGGCGGGCTGCTTGAGCAGAACCTGCTCCGGTCCGAGGCGGCCGCCGGTGCCGACGTAGTGGTAGGTTACGTTCGGCGCCCAGTCCTCATCACCGTCGCGGCCGGCCAGGTACTTCCTGCGCTTAAGGTGGCGGGTGACGATCGTGCAGGCGGCCTCGGTCAGCGTGGCCTCGTGGACTGAAGATTCGGGCTCGAGCTCTGGATGTTGTCGTCGTTGTTGTTGTTGGCGGCCGGGGTAGGGCGCAGCTGTGCGCCTGCGCTGAGCGGCCAGAGTTTCCAGCAAGACCGCGATGGTCGGCTCAGACGACGACGATGAAGATGAAGATGAAGATGAGGACGAGCGCCTCGACGATGATGATGAAGACGAAGACGACGATGGCGCAGGTGAAGGCCGAGGGACGGGGTGTGCGGATGGAAGTGGAGGCCTCTGGTTGCCTCTCCTGGGAGCCTCCTGCCATGACCCAGCGATCTTGCGAGTGAGCAATGAGTGGTGGTTCATCGCGTGTCGTTGTCGTGAGGGTACCTCGGGCTGTGGTGGGGTGATGGTGAAGTGGAGCTCTGTGACTTTGTCGCCCATGACGCCTGAGTAGGCTAGACCTGCGTGCGAAGTCAACTATCCAACCAGGGCACAAGCACACGCAACACCGCACACACCGCACACAGATGCCAGTACCAACCTGGCGAGTTGTGTCGGCGGCGGAACAGCCAGATGGATTCGAGGTCGAACAGGGCGCTGACAGTGACTCGAGCACACAACAGCCCACCGTCGTTGCTGCTCGTTTCGACTTCGGCTTTGGCCGTCGCTGCGGTCTCTTCCCAGTGGCGCATGGGTGCCGGCGAGATCTCTGCGAGGCCGAGTTCTTGCCAGGGGGTCGTCGGCGGTGGCTCGCCGAACAGCCGGACGTAGAAGAGGGCGATAAGTTGGCGGTTGAGGGCTGGGTCGCCTGTGTCGGGCTGGGGGAGCTCAAGGGTGAGCACCTCACGCCAACAGCGGGCCGTCAGCTCGCTGGACGGCCTGTGACGCCACCAACCAAGGCACGTGTGCGGTCGCGTGCCAAAAGTCTTACACCGCACACAGAACACACGACACGAGACACGACGCACACAACGTAACACAACACATAGAAAACAGAATGAGAGGAATGTTGAAAGTGTGGCAAGGAAGGAGGGGATTGTGCTCACCGCATGGCGATAGAGGCCAACTACTACTTCAGCAATGCCATCCCAAGAGGGCCGTTCATGCTCAGCCCTGATGCACCCCTGGAGCTCCAGGTAGTACTTCTGATGCCTGGTGGCACAGCACATGTGCAATGTGGGTGTGGTGTGGGTTGAGTGGTAAGGAAAAAATGCACAGGATAGGCCGTGCTACCTGAGCTGCTCTGGCTTCTGCAACTTTGCTTCTAGTATTCTGGCTCTTGCTGCCCTGCTCTCAGCCATTGCCTGCTGCTGGTTCCTTCTCCTGGCAATGTGGGTGTGGTGTGGGTTGGATCAACAGTTTAAATGCATGCTAACAACCCAGAGTAAATAGCACCTAGGAGCATCCTTCACATGATAGCTCAAGTTGTGGTGCAAGAAGGGGTGCTGAGAGACAAAGAAAATGTTGCTCAATTAGTCCAAGCAGCCATAGTGTGTTTGGAGGTGCAAGGTGCACATACAACATGAGTGGTGGTGCGCCAGTAGGCCTGGACAAAAGCCTCCTCATCAAGAGCTTCATCAAACTCATTGTGGAACAGCATGTTAAGTCCCATTGATTTGGTGACAAAACCATACTTTGCCTGTACTGGCTTCCCACCATCCTCCTGCATTGCCAAGCATAAAATGTGTGGTGGGCAACTAAGCTATACTATACTGATGGCCCTTGCGCCCAAGCTGTGACCATGAAACATCACTAACCCACAACTTCAGCTCCCTGGTGGCGGCTTCCTGCCTTTTCCAGCACTGCCTGTGTGAAGTAGTGCTCCAATTTCACCAGAAAGCGCCGCTCTGTCAGGAAAAATGCTGGAACAAGTTCACTTCACCAAACCCAAGCACAACATTGTTCTTTCTTTTGTTGTGGGCGCCAAAAAAAAAGAAAGCCAAAGAGACAAACAAAATCACACGACTTCCATGGAGCTGAACCCGTTCACCTTGGTGCCCCACTCGCAGGAGAAGTTCAACTACCTGGGGGCGTTCGACATCCAGCGGTGGTACGACGCGGTGGCCGGCGAGAAGGAGCTCAGCGGCGGCGGCGGCTGCACCATGCGCAGCCGGTTTGTGCCGCTGACGGTAGACCAGGCGCGAGCCCTCGCCAAGGAGCACAAGCGGCGGCGACGCCTGGGAGACGAAGCCGAGGCCGAGGCCGGCCACGCCGGCGGCGCGCCAGAAGTCATCAACGAGCTCGAACGCACAATTCAAAACGTGATCGACACCGACTTCAACGGTAGCCCACGCACGACCGCACACAACATGCGCGCGACCGCACACGCAAGCCCAATTTGTTTGGTTGATCGCGTGCGCGTGTGGTGCCAGGCGGAGCCGTGTTCGTGCGGCTGTCGACGCAGAGCCCGAAGGACGTGGGCCGTGGGTGGACCGAGCACCCGCGCGTGGTCCCGATCGTGCGGGAGGAGCTGGCTGCGACCGAGTCCGAGGGCCGCACCCTCAACGACCGCATCCGCGCCCTCTTCGCCGCCTCGCTGCGCGTGATGAAGGTCGAGTCGGGCCGCGGCGCGCTCGACCTACTGCTCAAGAGCGAGCGCATCCAGAGCAGCGTGCTCCACGCCCTGGCCAACGCCGCTGAGGCCCGGTGGGACCTGTGCGTGGTGGTGCGGGCCTGGGAGGAGTCGATGCGGCTCGACCGCGAGTTCCGCACCTTCGTGGTGCGGGATCGGGTGGTGGCGATCACCCAGTACAACGAGTACTGCCACTACCCGGCCTGGGCCGACCAGCACCAGCTCATCGCCGACAAGATCCACCACCTCTTCGTCCACCAAGGCCTCCGCGACAAAGTACTCACTCAACCCAGTGCGTCTCGTGCGCGTGTGTCTTGTCTGTGTCCTGTGTGTGTGTGTGTGTGTGTGGCTCACGTGCGTGTGTGCGATTAGGTGCCGCGGGCGTACCGCGAGTGGGCTTACGTGGCGGACTTTGTGCTCCTGGGCGAACCGGAGGAGAGGGCCGACCTGCGCGTGCAGCTGGTGGAGATCAACCCGTTCGGTCCGGGCACCGGCGCGTCCCTCTTCGACTGGCGCACCGAGCGATGCCTCCTCCAGGCCGGCCACGACCTCTGGGGCGACCTGGACTCTGCGGCGGCGGCCGCCGCAGCTGCGCAGCCTTCGGACATCGACGCGTGGACCAAGACCGTGGCGTGCCGCGTGGGCGACGGCGACGATGAGCAGACTGTGGTGGTGCGGATGGCGACGCGCCCCAACCCTCGCGTCGACTCCTCGTTTCTGTCGTCGTTCGGTATCGATATCTTGGTGCCCGCTCTCGACGATGACCATGAAGAGGACGACGACGACGAAGATGAAGATGACGACGACGAGGAGGAAGAAGACGAAAATCAAGAGGCGATCGACGAGTTCGTGGACGAGTTCGTGGCGGAGGCGAACCTGCGCCCGGTGGTGCGGGAGCACTGCGCGGGCCGGTTCGTCCGGAGGCGTACGCCCGAGTTCGTGGCGGGCGCTGTGGCCAGCGTCCAGGCCGACCCCGCGGCCCAGGCGTGGCTGCGCGAGCGCGGTCTCGACTGGGCCGGCGCCGTCGAGAAGGCCGTGGCCCGCGCCGCCAAGCAGTGGTACGCCTACTCCATCGCCACCAGCTCGTGAGTCCTACGAAAATAATCAATTTTAGTGAAAACCAAAAGAAAAAGAAATGGTGACGTGTCACATTTCGCCCATTTCGATGTCGGTCAGTGGGTTGGAGGAGGCGATGGACGGGCGGCCTGAAAAGAGGGAGGGAGAGGAAGAAGAAGATGAAGAAGAGGTGGTGGTGGCGGGAGAGGAGGATGAGGAGGATGATGGAGATGGAGACGATGGTGAAGAGGAAGTTGTGGTAAAAGAGGAGGGAGAGGGCTCTTTGTCGATGCATTGCTTGCAGAAGGGGCACGATTTGTTCGTCCGCAGCCACCTGGCGTGACGCCAGTCACAAAGGAAGGATCAGCACAGTCACTGCGGATGGGCGTGCCCGACGAAAAACGAAAGCGGAGGGCACAAAGAACGAAGAGCGAAGGGGGGGAGAAAAGGTACTTGTCAACGCATTCGGCGTGGAAGTGGTGCTTGCAGGGCAGGAAGCGGAGGCCCTGGCCCTTCTCGTAGTCCGACAGACAAATGGCGCAACTGTGGTCACACGCAAGAAAAGTGAGTACAAGCAGGAGACGAAGCTCTTTTGTCAACGAACGTGGAACGCGAGATTCTACCTGGTGTGATCAGCATCGATCCCCAAGTCGTCGGAGAACTTGACCAACTGCAGACTGTTGATCATTTTGCTCGACGCACCTATGACACACACGACGCACACGACGCACACGCACGACACGCACATGACACAACGCACGGAACGCGCATGCGTGAGTTTTAGGAGAATGGATGGCTTGCTAGACGGAGCGTGAGCAGTACCCGGCGGTGGCGGAGGGGCCATGCCGGCAAGGGCCGGCCCTAGCGCAAGCCGAAGGGACAGGGAGCAGCAGACGCAGCAGGCGAGCATGAGACCCACCGTCGCCAGCACGATCTTGTGTGTGCGGTGGTGCGTGTGCGTGTGCGTGTGCGAGTCCGGTCAAGTGTAAGACATGCGCTCCAAAACACCGCACACGCACACGCGCCACCGCACACACCGCACGATCAAACCCAAACAAGATGCTCACTCAAGAGAGGGGAAACCTGAATGATGAGCAGGATCAGGCAGCCGCGAAACAGGTAGGGCGCGTTGTTGGGCTGTGTGTGCGGTGTGGCGGTGGTGAGACGCGGTGCTGGTACACACACACACACACACACACACGGGATTGTGGGCGAGAGCGCACGCAATCCTTGGCCCCCACGCCGAAGATCCACACCATCCCAATGATGAACCAGGACAGCCATGCCATGTCCAGCGTGCGGTTCATGAGATAGTACGAATACATTCTCCTATATCTGCTCACGGCACACACGGCACACACGGCACACACGGCACACGACATGGTAAATCGACGTGGTTGCACAACGCGGGCGGGTTTGGTGTGTGCGTACACAAAGATGACTTCTTCGGCGGAGGCGTCGGGCTTGGGCGCCTGCAGGATGACGGCCACGGAGAGGCCCAGCAGGCCCAGCTGAATGGCCATCTGCACGGTGGCCCACATCTGCAGCGGCTTCTCGCACGACGCCTTGATGGCGAGTTGAGAATGAAAAGTAATAACGTTGTTGTGAGGCCAAGGCCAAGGACGAGCACAAGCGCTGGAGTGGTGAGGTGAGGTGTGGGTCGTACTCCCCAGTCGAGCGCGAGGATGACCATGAGGCCGATGGTCACCGGCACCAGGTACAGGAACAGCACCGCATTCACTTTCCTGCCACCCACAACATCAGTCGTGCAAGAATAAATGACAAATAAAGTCGTGCATCTAACAAATGACTTTGAATAAAAATAAAATAAAATGAATTATTATGCGATACCGATATCAAAAATATTAAAATTAAATAAAAAAACGAAGATGAAGGGGGGTACGCACTTCCAGGTGTTGATGAGGACGCGACGTCGAAAGTCGGGGTCTTCGAGGGAGCGTGCAGCAGTGGCGCCGGCAGCGCCTCGCAAGCGGGCGGCAGCTTCTGGGTTGCCTTCGTCAGCAGTTGCGGCTACGATGGCGGCCACGTGGTCCAGCAGCGCTTGCTGGTCCTCTTCTTCATCATCATCTTGATTGGTGGTGGTGGAAGCTGCTGCGCCTCGGTCTCTTCGCCGGTCTTCGGCAGCGTCGTCACGAGCATCATAGTTGGCACCCTCGGCATCATCTTGGGATTCTGCCTCGAACGCGGTAGAGCTGGTGGTAATCGGGATGTGCAGCTCTGTCAGCTCTTCATGTGGGACCTCCTCGTCCGACTCTTCTTCAGCAATCAGGCGGCGTCGATCGCTCGCGTCCATCTTTTTGAGTCTTTATTTTATTTTAGATAGATTTTAATTTAATTTATCTTATTGTTTATTTTATTGTTTTTGTGTCGACGCCGTGTAGCGGTGGTCGGTCAGTAGAAGTAGAGAGAGCTGCCAAGGGGGCGGACCACGGTGTCGAAGGTGTGCTTCTTCTCGGTGCCTTCGACCATGAACCCGATCGTCTCCTCCAGGAACAGGTCCAGCGCCTCTCGATAGGCAGTCTCGCCACCATCGCCAGGGCCAGCGGCGAGCCGCTCGATCGACTCCAGCGATGCGAAGCGCTTGACCAGCCGTCGCACCAACGCCTTCTCGTATGCGGCGGCCTCTTGCTCGAGCCTGGCCGCCAGCTGCCGGGCGTCCTGCGCTGCTTCGCTGCTTCCGCCGCCGCTGGCGGCGGTGTCGCGCCGGGCCTGGATGACTCGGTCGAGCAGCTCTCGGGCCTTGGCCTCCACATTGCCGTAGAGCTGGGCGGAGAAGCGGTCGATCTTCTTCCGCAGCAGCTCGATCGTGCGCCTGCCGCCCGAGGACTCCTCGCCCTCTGCCGGCTGTGCCTTGATCGATCCTGTGTGTGTGTGTGTGTGTCAGAAAGGAGTGATTCAGGGCGGGCTGGTGGTGATTTTTACCTTTGACGTCGTCCATGTTGTTGTTGAGGATGAGCTGCCAGATGATCCGCTCCTGGCAGATCAGATCGGAGTTGACCGTCTGCGTGCTGTACCACGAGGTCTTGATCTTGTACATCCGCCCGTCGTCGAAGCGCAGCACACAGCCCTCCAGTCCTGGTCAACTGGGTCAGCACGCGCCAAGATTGTAACCCCGCGGAGGGAGTACAGTGGGTGCGCACCCTCTTCCTGACCGATCTTGGCGAGCAGATCACTCACACTCTCGGCCGAGCCACGCCAAGCCTGTGCCATGCCGCGACATAAGGAGGCGATGCAGAACGTTCAGTCGTGGGGCCGCCGAGCTGTCAGTGCGCGCCACAGCAAATGTACCTTGACTACCGGAATGCCGGCTTGCGCCGCGCTCTGTTGCATCTCCTCGTACAGCACGTACTCGCCGGTCTTGTTGTTTCTTTTAAAAAATACTAAATCGGTAAGTAAATGTATACAATTAATGATAATGATAATTAGGGACACATCGCGTTCGCAAACCATCAGTTGTGCGGCATTGTGGGATTCTCCATGGTACACACACACACACACACACGATAAGGGTGGCACGGCACCTGATGGCGGTGAGGGTGAGCGTGGGCTCGTGGTACTTCACCACCCGCTTGTCGCACGGGCTGCACCACTCGAAGATGGGCGAGAAGCCCCGATCAACCCAGTCCCGGCTGAAGGCCAGGTAGCCGTCGTGGCTGGCGACAAAGGCGTTGACCTGGCGCGCCTCGCCGTTTCGGTGGCTCGTCTTGGTGCCGAACTTGAGCTCGCCCTGGGTGTAGAAGGGCGATACGAAGTTGCCGTCCAGCTTCTCGAGCACCACGTAGCCCGTGGCCTGCAAATCGATCTCCTCTACAATGCGCGACTTGGTCAGCGTGCGATCTACGAGTGTGTGCGTGTGCAGTGGTGCGTGTGCGTGTGCGTGTCGCTGGTGGTGTGAGCAAGCGAGCGTGAGTACCTGGCAGAGTCTCGTCCAGTTCGTTGACGTTGAAGAACTTGTGGAAGCGTCGCGCCAACAATGCGCCCGTCTCCGCATGAAACACGATGCCCCGGCACTCACGCCTCACATTCCATGATATATCAGCCACCGCACACGCCCTGCCTGCCGTGTGCACCGCAGGTCGCACAGACATGGGAAAGGAGGTACCGGAGGAGCCAGTGTTCTCGGGTGGTGGGGTCGGGAGCCAAGGCCGGGTTTGGAAAGGTATCGGCGTGGCCCATCTTTTTATATTCACAATATTAGCAAAAACACGATAAAAGATAAAGAAAATAATGATTAGCACCTTGTAGTTGAACACGACGTAGTCGTCTACGCGGCGTTCGTCGAAGTAGGTGCACCCCCGAATGGCCGCGCGTAACTGGTCCACATGCTCCACCTCCGCAAACACCCGCGCTGCCACTTCCTTCTCCATCTTTCTTTTTAATTATTTCATTATTGTTTTTGGCCGGTTAGGCGAATTTTGACGACTTTACGGCAAAGCCAACGACCACCTCAAACTAAAGCAAGTGAAGATGGAAGCTGCTCAAGGTTCGCACTTCATGCCTTTGCTTTTGAAGAAAATATTTATCCATAATAATTATTATATCCATAATATTTAATTTTATTCTTTTTTCAGCTGAAGGACCGAGCCCTGCGACGAGGGCCGAGGTGCTGAATGCCCGGCTGACCGCTCGCGGGGCGGAGGTGGCCGATGACGATGCGGGCGACCACCATCTTCGGGTCACGCGCTACACTGGCGTCAACCCGCCCATCGCGCTCACCACCAACTACCACTGGCCCACGCGGCAAGACGAAATGGAGGTACGTAATGATCACCAGTCTTGCTGATGCCTCCACACATGGGCTCAAGAAGCTGAGACTGTCGGTCGGTGTGCTGCTCGGGCAGGGAAACTACTTCTACTACTCGCGGTCGGACAACCCCAACTACCTCCTCCTCGAGAAGGAGCTCACCCGACTTCACCACGGTCGGCGGTCTCTCCTCATTTTTTGATTTATTTAACAATAATTGTATTATTTAATTCTGTGTTCTTTTGTTTTATTTTTTTCCGTGATCTGCGATGACTTGGCCGCAGGCTCAATCGCTCCTCGCCCATCCACTGCAGGCTCCTCGGCGGTGGTGTTCGCCACGGGCATGGCCGCCATCTCGGCCGTCCTCCTCTCCCTGGTGCGGAAGGACAAGTGCGCATTCCCGCTTACATTCATATCATTCCTTGGAGTGCGTGTAAGCTGCTCAACGCGTGATTGCGTGTTGAACCACTAAGCGTGTTGGATGTGCTGGGTGGTTGGTCCCAGGGCGGTGGTGCGCGCGAACGAGATCTACAACGACGTGCCGCGGCTCCTGCAGGAGATGACCGAAATGAGCGGCACCCAAGTCATAACTGTCGACATATGCGACACAGAAGCGGTCATCAAGAGCGTGGAACAGGTGCGTGCGTGTCCCGGCTGTGTGAATGCCAGCGTATCGGAGTTATAACGAACCACCTTCGTTCATCGTTCATTGTTCACCGTGCTTCGTGCTTCATCTTTCTTCAGGAGAACGTGCGGGTGCTGTATTTCGAGTCGGCTTCCAACCCCAACAGCTTCGTGCCCGATTTCGACGAACTCATCCGACGGACCAGAGAGGTCAACCCGCAGTGCCTCGTGGTGGTCGACAACACCTTCCTCTCGCCCATCCACTTCCGTCCGCTCGATCACGGCGCCGGTACAGAAACCTATCACCACCGTCGCATTCTTTCTTCTGTTCGTCGTGTTCTCTCTTTTAATATTCCCCCCCCCCCCGGTAACATTGCGACCAACTGCGTACCAGACATCGTCATCGAATCGGGCACCAAGTACCTGAGCGGGAAGGGGGATGTTCTCCTAGGAGCCGTGGTCTTCAGAAAGAAGCAAGGTTCGGCATGTCTTTCGTTCGCAACCATATTTTGCTCAATCCTAACATGACATGACACGACACGACACGCACCACTCAACGCGCTCACGCCACGCCACGCCACGCCACGCCCACTACACAACTGACAGCCGATCAGGGAGATATGGTGTTGACGGCCATAACGCAGCGCGTGAAGCGTTGGCGCTCGGTCGGAGGCGGGTCGCCCTCGCCCATGTCCTGCTGGCTCGTCAGCAAGGGCCTGGAGACACTTCGCCTGCGCATGCACCACGCCACCGCCACCGCTCTCGAAGTGCGTCTTGCCTCCACACTCGCCTTCAAACCTCGTCTCTTGTCCTAAGCTGACGTGGGTCGCGTGCCGTGTTTTAACAGGTGGCCAGGTTTCTTGAGACGGTCCCGTGCCTCAGCCGCGTCGTGTTTCCCGGGCTGGCCAGCCACCCGTGCCACACGCGCGCGGTCAAGTACTTTGGCGAGAAGAACAGCGGCGCGGTGCTCAGATTCCACATATGTCTCTACGGCCCGACCGTGGACCAGATGCTGACCGACCCGCATCCTTTCATGCACGCCGTCTCGCTGGGCGAATCCCACACGCTCCTCTACCCGGTGCCCGGCGAGTCTCGTCTCTTCCCCGAAGACGCCGGTACAATCTGCAACCCAGCTCCCCAGACCGTTATGTTCCTTCTGCGAACCTGTCGTGTCGTGTCGTGCGTGTCGTGCGTTGCACAGAGCGTGAGGTGCCGGACTACGTTGGGTATTGGTTCCGAGTGGCCATCGGGTTGGAGACCGCAGAGGACATCATTTCCGGTTTCCTCCGTACGTCGGCACTCCATCTTGGCTCGGTTGTGACTGAGGCTGTCGATCGACTCTAATGGTTCATAACTGTGTCATGTGTGTCGCGTGTCGTGCATGTGTGGTGTGAGGCGTGGGCGTGAATGCCAGATCTTTTTGCGCGCCAAGACGAGCTGGTGACGAAGGTGGGCGAGGTCAAGAAGTTCGACGCCAAAACGCGACAGCTGAGCTTCAGAGGCAAGCTCCCCTCGCCCTGTCCGTACCTCTTCTTTTTCGCTGGCGAAAGCGACGGCGGCAAAGGCCAAAAGCCCCCATCTCAATCGACCGATGGCCAGGTACGACTACGCACTGGCGCACACGCACCACCGCACACGCACACGCACACACCGACGCCCACAGCATGCTGATGACCACTTCATTGCAGGGTACGCGCCGAGCGATCTTCATCGAGAGGGTGGCGGGTGACGAAGCCGGTGGTGGCAAGGCTGCCAAGAAGGGCAAGGCCACAGTCACGCTGGGCCTCGCAGCTGCGGCCGACGAGAAGGCCCTGCTGACCAAGGGCACCGCGCTCTTCTGCTTTAAGTCCGCTCTCACCCTCTACACCGAACTCGTCGGAAAGAAGTAGCCCTTCGCTCTTTGTTCTTCGTTCTTTCCGCTGTTTTATCTTCACTTCACTCTTTCTCACTCACTGCAAAGCAAGACAACGACAAAAAAAGATGGACGAGTTGATGGTGGAGTTGGTGGGCATGTGCCTCGGCTATGTGGACCCTCTCACCCAGCCCGTCTGCCGCGCCGTGTGCCGTCGCTGGCACCACGCCCTCCAAGCCCACGCGCGGACCACCCAGACCGCAACAACCGCTGCGGTAACTGCAACACCTCGCCGCCCACCACGCCCAGAGGAAAAGGGTTTGCCTGCTGGACCAAGCTTCGCTGCGCTTGTCGCTCAGGAGGGCCGGCTGGCAGTGCTGCAGTGGGCGCGGGCCAGCGGGGCGCCGTGGGAAGACCCCGGCGAGGCCTGCGCCGGCGCCGCACGCGGAGGCCACCTCGCGGTGCTCCAGTGGCTGCACGCCGAGGGTTGCGCTTGGGACCAGCGGACCACTGCCGCCGCGGCCCACGGCGGCCACCTCGCCGTGCTGCAGTGGGCGCTGGCCAACGGCTGCCCTATGAGCCCCGACTCGTGAATTCAGGCCGCAGCCGGCGACGGCCATCTGGAAGTGGTCCAGTGGCTCTGGACCCATGGCGGATCGCCGTTCAACCGGGACGTATGCGCAGCGGCCGCTCGTGGCGGCCACTTGGAGGTGCTGCAGTGGGTGCGGGCCAACAACTGCCCGTGGGACTACATGACCTGCTGCCTCGGGGCGCATGGGGGCCACCTCGAGGTACTGCAGTGGGCGCGGGCCAATGGCGCGCCGTGGGACGAGACCACCTGCAGCGGCGCGGCGCTCTTCGGCCATCTCGAGGTGCTACGGTGGGCGCGGGCCAACGGGGCGCCGTGGGACACGGACACCTGCAACTCGGCGGCTCACAGCGGACACCTTGAGCTCCTGCAGTGGGCCCGAGCCAACGGTGCGCCGTGGAACCGACGCGTGACCTTCTTCGCCAAGCGTGCAGGCCACACCGAGTTACTCCAGTGGGCGCTAGCCAATGGCTGCCCTTCGTGAGTACTCCAGGCCACGCCCGCAACCAGCTTTTTATATGATCCACGATTTCGATTACCGGGCGCCAAATATCTTCGGAGTTGCCTCCTGCACATGAGGGACGGATGGCCGAGCGGTCTAAGGCGACAGTTTAAGGCACTGTTATGTTCGGATGCGTGGGTTCAAATCCCACTCCGTTCACTCCTCTTTTTTTAACCTTTTTACGTACTTACCCAACTTTTCTTCGTCGTTTTCGTCACGTCCCAATCCGATCCCATCTCAGGACGGCCCAACCTCGGAAGCAACTTGTTCTCGGTGGTCCTCACCGTCCTGGGACCTCCCGGCGCAACCGACAGTAGAGAAAGAAGAAAGTTACAAGCAAGTTGCAGTTTGTTGTGTGCGTCGCGTACGTTCGTCTTTGTGCCGCACCACCAAGCCAGGCAGGAACGCATATATCCACCAGAGGATGCAGAAGTTGCGGGGGTTGGCTGACCCGGAGCGATGGCGTCCATTCATGACGCGCCGCTATTGCACCCTCTACGCGGGCGTGCTCACCCTGCTTGTCAGCGGCACGCTCTACGGCCTCTCGGCCTACACCCCCGCCCTCAAAGGTCCAGCCACACCTTTTATTGTTTACTTATTTTTTTTTAACTTCCTATATTATCATTTCTAACTATATTGTAAGTAATACTATTTGATATATTTTAAAATATTGGTTTATCTAAATTGGCCGAACAAGCGAGGCAGAGAAACGCACACACGCCACTCACGGCCACCGATTGGGTGCACAGACCAGCTGCATTTTAGTCAGGGCGAGATCACGCTTATCGCCACGTTCGGCAACATCGGGCTGTACGTCTCTCTGTCTCTGCTGCTCGGACATAAAAATGTGCTCACTCTGTGCACACGCGCCACCGCACACGGGTGCAGATATGTTGGGTTTCTGATGGGCAAGCTCTACGACACGCTGGGCGTCAAGTGGACCTGCGCGGTGGCGGGCACCATGGTCTGCAGCGGCTACTTCTGTGCTTGGGTTCGATGCACACAACACTTGACGCACACACGCACACACGCACCACCGCACACACGCACTCGCTCACCGCACGCGCCGGCAACTCACCTGGGCCTGGGCAGATCGTGGTGGCCGGCCACATCGACGCCGGGTACTGGTGGCTAATGGCCATCTTCTACCTCATCATCGGCCAAGGCAACTGGGGTGCGCACCCAGCTCCAGCCCCACACCACAACCCAACCCAATTGTTATGTATATACTTTTTAATTCCTCTGTTTTTCCGGGCGAATAGGGTTATATCTGGCCACGTTGACCGTCAACATGCGCAACTTCGACAAGGAGGACCGAGGCAAGGTGCGTGCGTGACTGGAATTCACGAATGAATATGCGGTCATATATGTTTTTATTTTATTTTTTTGTCCTCCTAATCGCACGCCCCAACGCAGGTAGCCGGTCTGCTGGCGGCAGCGTTCGGCCTGTCGAGCGGCATGTTCACGCTGATCTATGCGGTCTTCTTCTCCGAGACCGACAACGTCGCCGGCTACATTCTGTTCACCGCCATCGTTGTGGCCCTGGCGGTCATCGTCGCCGTGCTCGTCATGCGCCCCGTACGCCCTTCTTCTCAATAACAATAAGCATCATCACCATCTCATCGTCATTGTGTGCGTGCGTGCGGTGCGTGCGTGTGTGCGTGTGCGTTCTGACCGATGGCGTGCGTAAAGGAGGTGCCAGTGGCACCACCGGCGGCCGATCCGGAGAAGGTCGCGGAGGAAGAGGAGAAGATCTCCATCATCCAATCGCGCGACGAGGAAGTACCCGGCCTCGGCGGCAAGACCGAGCAACCCGGCGTACGCGCAGGTAATATTTAATAACAATAATATTAATAATAACAGAGAATTATGACAATAGTAATGTAGTGATCTGGACTCTCACTTGAGCCTCTTTTTAGTTGAAGCGGACGGCAGCCTTACCACCCTGCAGACGCTGGCCACCCTCGACTTCTACCTCGTCTTCGTCCCCTTCATCTTCGCCGCCGGGGTACAGCGACTACTCCTTCTCGACTCGCGCGAGTGCATTCCGCTGCTCTCTACTCACCACTTTCGTCGATAGGCGGGCCTTCTGGTGATCAACAACCTGGGCGAGGTCGTGCGGTCGCTCGACGGCGGCAGCCTGGAGAAGAATCTCTACGTGGCCGGGCTCTCGGTGTTGGGCTGCATCGGTCGTTTCACCGTCGGCTCCCTCTCCGATCGCTTGTACTTCCGCCCACTCACCTCTCCTGTGCGTGTGCGGTGTGTGCGGTGGTGCGTGTGCGGTGTGTGTCGTGTCATGCCAACTTTGAAAGGTGCTGACGTCGCGTATTCGGTGGTAGGGTGAAGAAGGGCGTGACGCGAGCCTATTGGCTGGTGCTGTGCCTCATAATGTTCGCCATCTCGCACCTCGCCTTCTGGATCTTCACCGAACGGTGGATGATCCCCTTCGTCGCCCTCATCACCGGCCTCGCCTACGGCGGTACCCACCCACCCCAGCAGCTCGCTCTCTCTTCCCGTGTTGGCCCTTCCCTCACCGTGTGCCGTGCGTGTCGTGCGTGCCGTGTCGTGTCGTGCTTGCAGGCTTCTTTGCGGTGGTGCCCATTTTGATCAGCCTCTACTTCGGTTTCACGCACTTTGGCAAGAACAACTCTTGCGCTGCTCTCGCGCCCGCCATCGGCTCCTTCGGCTTCAGTGCGTTCCTGTTTTCACCGCACACACCACACACCGCACTCAACGAGACACCACACAACACACGCGGACCGCACGCACCGCACACATGCACACATACGCACTTGGGAAGCTGACCGCACGCACTGGGCACCCCAACAGACAACCTGGCGTCGATGTTCTACGACCGCAACAAGGAGGGCGACGCGGAGCACTGCTTCGGAGGCGACTGCTGGTCGACGATCTTCATGGTGACCGGCTTCCTCTGCGTCGTCGGCGCTGGCATCACCTTCTTCCTCGCCTGGCGACGGAAACATTTCCTCCAATAACGTGCGTGCGTGCGGTTCGCATGTGTGGTGTGTGCGCACGCGTGTGCGGTGTAAAACAAAAAAGAGAAGAGAAAAAATGGATGGATCGATCTACAACGTTTTCCTGTGGAGGGCGAGGATGTAGGTCTCGTTCTCGCCCTGCTGGGCGATCGTCGTCGCCACAAAGTTGCTGGCCTCGATAAGCCGCATCAGCTTGCGCTCGCCCACCCGACTGCGCGATCTGTGTGGCCACGCATGAGTGTGTGCGGTGGTGTGCGTGTGCGATTAGATTTAGGGGAGGTACGAATAGGCGAGGAAGACAACTGCCTCCTTCGTACGGTGCAGCAATCGGTCGAGGGTGAGCATCATGCCCTCCAGGCCATCATCAAAGAAACTGAAAGAAAAGAAGTTGACACTGCTGTCACTGGAAAGCGAAGAAAGAACGAAAGCGAAAGAGCGAAAGAGAAAAAGCGAAACCGAAGGAAAGATGTACATGATGTCCGATCCCATGATGACGTCGTACTTGTAGGGGAATCGCTGCTCGAAGGCGTCCAGATCCTGGCCCCACAGGTGCTTGGCGGCATCGAGCACGCCGCGGCCCTCCTCGTTGGTGGAGACCTGCTTGAGGAGGAGCTCCTCCACATTCTGCTTCAGGATCGTGGTGACCTCGTCGTTGCCCTCCGTCAGGATGCACACCTTGGCTCCCAGCTTGTGCGCCACCAAACCGCACAGCCCTGCGTGTGTCGTGTGTCGTGTGCGTGTGCGGTGGTGAGTGTCGTGTGTGTCGTGTGCAAGCAGCAGAGCAAGCGGAGGAGTACCGACGCCTGCGCCCAGCTCGAGCACGTTCTTGCCTTGGACGAGTTCAGGGTGGTCCACCAGGTACTCGCTGAACCCTACACGGGGTCATCATCGTGTGAGGCGTGATAGTGCCCTGAAGCTGGGCTGAGCGGACAAGCAGCGGCAAAGGGGGAGAAGAGCGTACATGTGGCGCAAGGCCAAACCACCTGCCCGGTCAAATCGAAGTCGGCTGGTGCCATCACCCCCACACACAACGGGCACAGCACACCACACACCGAGTCGTGGGTAAGATGGCTGACACAGGCGCCGGAGGAGAGCCACAGGGAACGTACTCGAGGCAGAGGGCAAGACGGTGAGTTCAACTGTAAATCGGCTGTCGGGCTCCGTGCCAAACGTGAACGCTTGTTTTGTGTAGCTGATGGTGAAGGTGTCAATTGCGAATTAAATTAAATTTGACGTTAGCATTTGAAGGCAGGGCGCACTTGCGGTTGACAAACATGTCAGGGTTGAACATGCAGTCTTCATCGTCGCTGCTCTCATAATCTGCCCTCCGCCTAGTAGCCTCATCTCCTTCCATCTTGCGAGATTGCGAACAAAGAAATGGAAATTAAATTCTCAATCTCTGTCGACGCCTTCTTTGGCGCCATTTTCCATTCAACAAGAGATGGAGGTGCCACCGAGGGCGGTTGTGCGAAAATGCGTGTCTAGAATTCGGCACCACATGTCCCCTGCCCATCTCGTTCCAGTCTTTGGCCTTGCCCGAGAGCTCGAGTACGTTCCTGATGCGTTGCAATTGTTTTGTATCGACAACAATCATCTCCAATCCACACTCATCTGCGGTGCACAGGCTGGTGGGCCGATTCTGTGAGCAGACGGAGGTGAACAAGGAGAGCCATGCCACCCTACTCATGGGGCCACACAACACCGGCAAGTCGCTCGTGCGTCTCTCTACTCCTCCATTGCCAGCTCTACATAAGAAGCTCACCGTTGCTGCTGCTTGTACAGGTGCTCAACACCGTGCTGCGGGACTTGGAGGCCAGAACGGGCAACAAGCCCGTAGGTACGTTGCGTGGCGTGCGGTCATGCGTGTGCGTGTGTGCGGTCTTGTCGCACACGGTGGCTGTAGCTCCCTCTCATACTGCATCATGTAGTCATTGTGCTGGACGGATACCTGCACGCCGACGAGGCGGCCGCTCTGGTCGTGATCGGTGACGTACTCGGCATGCAGGCGGAACTCGCGCAGCAACAGCAAAGGCAAACGCAGGCCGATCAGCAACAGCAACTCCAACAAGAACAAGAACCAGAACAAGAAGACAAACAAGAGGAACAAGAACACGAGCGACAACAAGGTGAGCCATGACTGACTCTACTCTGACCTACCCCCAACGCTTACGAATCCCCCCGCCCACGCTCCGGCGCAGAGTCGGCGGCGAGGGCCTCTGCGGCTGAGGAGATCAGTGCCATCACCGAGCTGACGTTCCACTCCACTGTGCTGGCCATGCTCAACTGCTGGAAGCAAGTCAACCCCGGCCGGGTACAACTCCTTCGAAGCTTGCGCACGACACGACACGACACGACACGACACGACACGACACGACACGACACGACACACTGCATGTTCTGACGGTCTCGATTGTTTTGTCGTCATAAACGTTCATGTGCAGGCGGTCTTCTTTGTGCTCGACCAGATGGAGCTCTTCACCAAGTCGAAGCAGAACCTGCTCTACTCGCTGCTCAACCTCATGCAGGAGAAGGAGCCACCGGTGGCCATCATCGGCATGGCCGGCGTTCTGGTTCGTGCTTGCACGCAGCCCCCACTGCCTACTCTACACACGCTCACACAACGTTCGATTGATGGTTTGCTTGGACTGGTGGCGCAGCATATCATGGACATGCTGGAGAAGCGGGTCAAGTCGCGATTCTCCGACCGCTACATACTCTTTCTGCCCAACGCGTCGATGGAGCAGGCACTTCACATTCTTCGGTACACGCACACTCATGACACATGGCATCGCGACACACACACGACACAGTGCGCTCATCATATTCTGTCGTACAGGCATGTGCTTCTGCTGCCTGACGGTTTCAGCACTCACCCGCACGCGAAGGAGTGGAACTCCCGCGTAGTGGTACGGCCCCCACTTTCGCACGCGCACGCACGACACTCACACATGTACGTATTGGGCCTCAGGCGTTGCTGGAGGACAAGGAATTCTTGGAATTCCTAGCGCAGCGACAAGACGTCAAGAGCGACCCGAAGGACCTCTTCAATCTCCTGGTAGAGCTTGCGTCCTCTCTCCTTACCATCATATCTGTTATGCGCGTGATGTGCGCGTGTGCGTGTGTGTGCGGTAGTGTGTGTGTATGTGTGTGTGCGGTTGTGTGTGTGTGTGGTTGTGTGTGTGTGTGTGCGCGCGCGCGTGCGCGTTGGTTTGGTTCGTGCGTGCGGCTTTGATCTGACGATTGGGCCACCAGCACGTTGCGATGAAGGACATTGACGAGCGACATCCATTCCTAACCGTGCACGACTTCCGCAAGGCTGCGGCCTTCATGAGCCCCGACATGAAGCTGCAGGCACTCAAAGGCATGCCTGCCGCCCAATCTTCGTTCTGCTCCTCCCCTCTTCTAGTCTGGCAGGCATTGTCTTCTTACGTGCGTGTGCGGTGTGTGCGTGCGTGTGGTGTGTGTGTGTGTGTGTGTGCGTGTGTGGTGTGTGTGTGTGTGTGGTGTGCGTGTGTGTGTGTGGTGTGTGTGGGTGTGTGTTGTCTTAGGAGCTCCGGCGTTGGAGATGGGGTTGCTGGTGGCCATGAAGCTGTTTGAGGAGGACAAGATCGAGGAATACAACTTCGAGATGGTCTACGACCGCTTCCAGAAGTTTGCCCGCGACGAGTTCATGAGCGTCACCAAGCCCACCGCCTTTGCCGTACGTCTTATTCCCGCGCACACGACACGGCATGACACGCACACGCACACGACCAACGACACACGCGCTAATGCGACACTGCGCAGGCGTTCGAGAGTTTGCTGGAGCAGGAGCTGATCAAGAAGGTGGCCCGACGGGCCGAGGAGAAGGCCACGCCCAAGGGATTTCTCATGGTCCGACTCATGCCCATCCCCGCCCAGATCGAGGATGTCCTCCGCGACCCGGTTCGGTCTCTCCTTCTCTCTTCCTACGGGACCGTGTTCTTTCTTACACCCCGTGTTGTGTCGTGTCGCGTCGCGTCGCGCCTCAGGCGTGCATGTTGCCGCAGAGCGTGGTGACTTGGGGCACCAAGTGGGTGTCCTGAGGTTGTCAAGAATATGTATTGCTTGAGACCTCAAGGAAGGAACCAATGGAGAAGGAGCAAGCGAGTTCTCGTTTGTCTTTGCATTTACCAACCCCCTCACTTCGTGCAACCACTGCCCAACAAGTCCTCAGCTACCAGTTCAACATCACCTTCATCCCCTCTGCTGACACCAGCCCACACTGCTCTCTGTGTTCTCCCTGCAGCTATGTCTTCATCTTGTCCATCACCATTTCAGTCACATCAGTGATATGCTGCTGTGAGCTGACCCAGCATTGTAGTTGTTGGGGCAAGATGAGCATGTGAGGCCCTGGGCATGTAAGCAACATTGTGCATCATGATGTAACTCTGTTGTCCATTGACTATAGTGACACCATGCTGGGTGCCATGCCTGACAGCCCAGCAGCCCAGTGGCAGTTTAATGAGGGTGGCATATTACACTGGTTGGGGCACACAGCCAGATCATGTGACCAGACAATTACCTGCTGTGTCCAGGGAACACTGTGTGCTCAGTCTGGGCATGGATTCAGGTGCTTGTCAGTGTGCTGGCCACTGAGACTGGAGGGCGCAAGATGTTGGAATAGAGCTGACTCATCATCCTTTTGGCTGCACTCAAGGCCATTAATCCTGTGTTTGAAGCTCAGTTCAACACCCTGGCTGAAGCTGTTCTCAAGGCACTTGACTGTGTCAAGGCCTCATGACACACTGTTGCTAGCCATCCTCTACATGGGTCAACACCAGCCCTGTGGTCAGGATATGGCTGGTCAACCTTCTCACCCTCATCCAGCACTGTGCAGTCAACCACCACTGCTGCAAGGCCCAGCAATTTCGCCATTGTCAGTGGGCCTGATGTACCATTGTCAGAACACAATCCACAATAAACTGCACTTCAACTATTTGGTCTTCTCCCTGGTGGCCAATGTCCATCTGCCTATGGTCACTGACACTGGTGTGACTCAACACACCACCAATCAGCATGACCTACTTCATGAATTCATCCCTCTCACCAAGCCATCTCAACTGGTGTGCACTGATGGTGGGCACATCAAGTGCCTACTGGGTGCTCAAGCTCAAGGCACTTGGAATGTACAAGGTGTGCTGGGTTGCATGCAGTTTCTCCCAGGTGGCTGGCATTGATTTCAACAACCTATGCACCTGTCTTCCAGCTCAAGAACCTGTGCATGCTACTAGCCATTAGGTAGGCAACCCAGCACCTTGTCTTCTGCCTGAAGAGAGCTCTGTACAGTCTCAAGCAGGTGCCTCTTGTGTGCAATTCCACACAATTCCACACTCATTGAGTGAGAAGAAGAAGAGGAAGAAAGACAAGCTTTGGTGGTGATATGGGAATGAGAGTGTGTTACCTTCTGTGACCCTGTCGCCAGGGAGGAATTTTGGCTGCATAGTTGGCACCCAACAGGATGGCCAAGAACAGCTCCACCATCATCACCAGCCCATATCTGCACTGACCAGACATATTAAAAAGAAGGTGGTGGAGGATCTGGGGTGTGTGGTGTTGTTGTAAAGGGTACCCCTTGTAGCTGCCAGTCTCCTCCTCACCACCCAGATAAAGAAGGCCACCTCCACCCAACACCTCCTTCAGGTCCATGCTTGGCTGTCTGGCCTTGTCTGCTGCACAGAGCAGAGGAGGAACATACCATCATACCATCATCTTCATTCCCACATTATCTCTTACATCACCATTTCTACCACCTTTCACCCAGCATTTCCACCTGAAGTGATCAGTAAGTTGGCAGACAACTGCCATTCTCCACTGTTTCTTGAATCTGAGCTCAGTGAGTGGGCAGACATCTTTGAAGCTCATGAGGCTCTTGTTTCAACCATCCAACCCACCTGTGAGTGTCTAAAGGGTGCAGTGCCCATGGGTGCACCTCAAGAACCTCCCAACCAGATTTTTCACTTTGCATCTTACCAGTCAGGTATGGTTGGTTGGGCTGTAGTCCCTCAGTATGCAACTTCAGTTGGGAGTTCACACAGGAAGACAGACACCAACTTCTGGAGCACTTGTTGCTGTTGTGTGGATGGGGGAAATCAGATAAGAACCTCAACACACACCACCCTACTCAAAAGAGCGCAAGTACCAGCTTGGGCTTGGCGGCGGCCGAGGTGTAGAGTGCAGGGAGCAGCTGGAGGAGGGACCGCTTGATCTCATCCAGTGCTGCCAGCAGCCGATATCGCTCGCTGAACTCTGCGCTGTCGCTCGCTCCGCGTTTGCTGTGCATCTCGTTCGCCTCCGCCGCTGCAGCAATGATTGATTCCTCGGACTAACCATCGATCGTGTGCGTGTGCGTGTGCGGTCAGACGAAACAATCAATTGCGTGGCTGGAAGGGTGTTGCAAGCACTGTACCACAAGCTCTTGCATGAACTGCTGGACGAGTAGCAGGTTGTCGGGCGAGATGAATGGATTGAGCGAGGTCATGTAGGACTCCTTCTCCCCGAACTCAACGTTGTTCATGAGGTTGTTGAGCAGCTTAGTGATGAGCATCAACGTCCGCTGACTCGTCGTCTTGCCTGAGGCCTCTCGGTCAGTAAAATGAAGAGCGGAGAGCGAAAGACAAAATGCGGAGAAAGAAAGAACGAAAACGAAGCTCGGGCGGGAGAGGTACCTCGATGAGGCGAGACGATGGCCGGGGAGAGGAAGCGGAGGAAGATTAGGTTGGCGATGGCCTGCAAGTTCATTTCCGACCACCGCTTGCCCACCTCCCGGCCCACGATTCTCAGTATCCGGCGCACGGGCCTGCGAGATGGGAGAGATGCGTGAGTAGACTTCTTCGATGACGACAATGACAATGATGACAATGGTGACGATGGAGATGACATTTGGCGATGATGCTGATGACGCTGGTGGTGGGCGGTGGGTGGTGATGGCAGGGAGATCGTGTGCGTACGCCGGACACTGCGAGGAGGACTTGCACACATGCTCGAGGAACTCCTGCGCGATCACAAGAAGCTGCTTGGCATTTTTGGCCACCTCCGCTGTCGACGCATTCCTTGGATCAATCTTGTTTGATCAAATATGTGTGCGTGTGCGGTGTGTTCGGTGTGCGTGTGAGTCGTACGAGTCGGACACAGCGCAGGCCTAGAAAGTGGGGTGGTGAGCAAGGCGCACCTCGAGGGGCTTCTCGAGCGCGTTGACGGTGGTGATGAGGTTGCCGATGCAGTAGTCGATGTAGTGCGCCGCCTGCTGGTGAATGAAGGCCTTGAACAGCCGCACCGCAATGCTCTCCTCCCGGAAAAGCACCGCACTCTCCTCTGCGCGCAACAAAAAAGTTGAGAAAACCGCACACGCACACGCACACGCACACGCACACGCACACGCACACGCACTCAAACGCGGTACCTCGAGGGCTCGCGGCGATCTGATCGATGAAAGAGGAGGTGAGGAGGTGCTGCGACTTGCCCTTGATTGTGTAGAAGCTGACGATGGCCTCGCTCAGCGGGTGCTCGTGGCCGCGCGGTGCAGCTGAGGCCATGTCGAGCTCGAGCATGGTCCGCATCAGCGGAAAGTCGTCCCAGGAGTCCTCGAGCAGGGTCTCGGTGAAGACGTGGAGCAGTCGTTCGGCTCCGGCGTGCGCCCCCCGAACGATGGGGGCGGCGCCGCACTCGAACGAGTGGACAGCCGATGATGACGATGATGACGTGGCAGAGCCCAGGGATTGGCGGGGCGAGCCCTCGGCTGACCGGGCGCCGGCGGTAATATTGGACCCGGTGCGGCCGCGCCGAAGCCGCTCGTTGTTGATGAGCTCTGTCCACGCATTTTGTGAGCGCCTGTGTGCGTATGCGTGCGATTGTACATGTGCGTGCGTGTGGGTGCGTGTGCGTCGTGTGCGAATGCGTGCGTGCCGTGTGTGCGATTTGGTACCCTGCTCAGAGCCGATCGGGAATCGGATCTTGGTGCCTTTGGTAACCGCGGGGATCGAATCGAGCGATGTGGTCGTCGGGAGCTTGGTGGCTCTGCCACTTGCGCTGACCGAATCGAACGAGCCAGCGGGCGGAGCCATTGCTATTGTGTTGTGAGTCGCGTGTTTTCAGGAGTGTCGCGTGTCGCGTGTTGTAAGAAAGAAGCACGAAAAAAAAAGAGAGAGAGCTGAGATCGTACCCGCGAGTGGGCAGGTCTCGGTCACGGCCGGACAATCGGCCGAGTGCGGCTTGCTCTTGATGCGCCAGGGCTCTTCCTCGTCTCCTCCTCGGTTTTTGCGGGTCTTGCTGGGGCTCGGGCCGAAGAGGGTCTTGAAGATCCGCCCGCTGCCGCTCGTGCCCCTCGCTCTCTCGGCCTTGTCGCTGCTGACGATTGTACTTCCGCCGCAATTCCCATTCGACTCTGGCGCCACGGACTCTGAGTCGGTCGGTTTGTAGGCCGCCTGAATTGAAAAGAATGAAATCAATTAATTCGCCTGTCGCTTTTCGTTCTTTCCGCTTTCGCTCTTTGCTTCGCTTTCGTTTTCGTTCTTCGCATGCGAGAGAGCAAAGAGAGAAGGCGTACGGCTGCGTGAGCGGTCATAAGGCGAGCCTGGGCCTGGTCGCAGAGGGGGAAGTCGGACATGTCGATGCCGAAATAGCGGGCTTCCTCTATCGAGTTGAGCACGGGCGAACAGGCGAAGCAGACGGTTTGCTTGCCTTGGCACCACACCATCTGCACTCATCGTTTGCGCGTGCGGTGGGTGGTGTGCTTGCAATAGGTGCGGTGTGTGCGGTGTGTGCGTGGTGCGTGTGCGATTATACGGGTGAGTACCTCGCCGTGGAGAAGGAAAGTGGTGTCGTCGTCGTAGGCGTGCCCAAGGGTGAAGGGAGACAGCTTGCGGTGCGAGTAGATGGTCTTAAAATTGGGAAAAGCACAAGCTTCGGGCTCCTTAATGGTGAAGAACTGCGACATGGCGTCGCCCGTCTCAAGCGGCACAATTCGTTGCAGCGCCTACATGCACACAACACACATCACACGACACACACGGCACACACGGCACACACGACAAGAAGTTCAACATTATGTGCTGGTCGTTGGAAAGGCCAAAGGAGAGGCTTACAGGTCCGGCCTGGACGATGTTGCACTCCTTGTCGAACATGATGTGGAACGGGAATAGTCGACCGAGCGACTTGGCGTTGAGCCCGTGCTTTAGTGGCGCCTTCTGGGTCGCAGTGGTCGTGCTCTCCGACGCCCCGGCCTCGTGGCCGTCCCCCTCCTATGTCCGGGCCGCGGTCCCAGGGTGAGTGCCACCATCGGGAAAGGCACAAAGAACGAAAAAGAACGAAGACTTACGGTGTCGGTTTTCCACTCGACGAAGAGGACGTCGATGCCGTCGGCCTCCTTGGTTTTGATCTGGGTGACGGTCACCTCCTTGAGCTTCAGCAGCTCAGCACCTAATCCCTTAACCAAGCCTGATTCCTCTCAACGATGAGACTCACGTGTTGTGTATTACGTGCGGTGGTGCGTGGCAAGATGAAGCGCGTACCGACGACGAGTGGCGAGAGGCCTTGTCGCGACTCTTTGCCCGGTGTGTAATGCAGGCGCATGCTGTTGCCTTTTCTGTGGGTCACCTTGAAGGTGGGCGACATGATCTGACATTTGCCACCCGCGCGAGCAGTGAGAGCTCAGTTCTGTACATAGAAGAAGAAGACGACGACATAGCTGGTAAAGATGAGTGCCGCACCGTGGGGAAATGGGCCACCTTGAGCAGGTGTGCGTGCAGCTTGTTGATCTGTGAAAGCACTTCGCCGAGATCGCTGCCGATCATCTCCAGAAGCTGGCCATATGACTGCACGCACACGACGCGCGCGTGTACATGCAACACAACAAACGCATCAGCCGTGCACGTTACAATCGTAACGGGTTAACCCGCACCCAGGCTAATCGCAATCGGAGTTAAAAGCTTATTGTGAGGTGCAAGAAGAACGTACGGTCTTCTTGTGGAGGTAGACGATGAACCAGTAGCCCACCTGCTCGAGCAGGTCCTCCGGCTTGGCTTTGAGCAGGGCGCTGCCGGCCTTGACCAGGTCGTACACGATCGCGTCGTCGTAGGGCTGGTTCGACACAAAGTCCGTCGCGCACTTGGCCTGGCCGCACATCTGAACCCACGCTTTCTCTCCGAACTTGGTCACCACCAAGTCCTGTGCCGGCGCATCGGTTGGAAGTTAGCTACTTGGCCGTTGTAGCTGTGGTCCTTTTCATTTGTTTTTTGATATTTTAGATAATATTCCTAAAGGTGAGTTGAGGACACAGATAATTAGAATAAAAAAGAACTACTTATTTTAGCGCATGTTTGTCCGATAAGTTGTGGTGCCCAAGTTATAACCCGAGTGTGAGAGAAAGAAGCAAGGGAGTGGTGTACGTCGATACCTTCACGGTGAGCATAATTATGCCGTGCATCTTGTGAAGGTAACGTTCTCGACGCTCTTCTACTTTCTTTCAAGAAGGCGCCTTTGTTCTTCTGGTTGGCTCTGCGTGGCGGTTGTGTGTGGGAGATGTTTCACGCACGCGTACAGAAGAACAAGGGCCGGTACGCTCGCTCCGGGGTGTGGTGGGCAAGCTTGGCCAGCCGGAGAAAAAAGTGTTTGAGCTGGTCTTCCTGTCTGGTTGCTTTAACGCACCTGGCGCAACGTCACTGCGGTCTGTCACCTGCGCGTCATCAGCCCAATCATTGTGGGAATACTTTAAATATCTATACACGGATATCCTACACAAAGACAATCCCTGACCGCCACCGATGACCTGCAGGACCTGACCAAGGGCATCAACAGTACTCGGTGGGCATATCGCAGAGCGCGACGGTGAGGAGCCGGCGCAGCTTGGCCTCCTGTGTGACGTTTGGGCGTGTGTGGTGTGTTCCAGGTCAGATTACCGGGCGACCACACACACAGGTCTCGGGCTAATGGAAACGTCATAAACGATCCACCCCCAAAGCAACAACGCACGGTCGGAGACAAAGGAGGAAAAGAGAGAACGAAAGAGAGATAAGGCGTACGATGGAGGGATGCTCCTTAGCGCTGGTCCACATGGCGTCGTGGTGGCGCAGCAGGGCCTCCCTGATGGCGTCGACGGCCATCGACGTTCGGTAGCCGCCGACCGCTTCGTCCGGCGCGCCACCGCCGGCATCTGCCGCTGAAGCGGCCTGCCCGACTGCCCCGCGAGTTGACGCAGCGCCCGCGATCGCCTCCTCGTCCTGCACCGTTTCCGTTTCAAAAATAAGTGTACCGATCACCGCGGTTACATTGCTTCCGCGTGATCACGCCAACGTCAAGAAATTAAAAAAGAAAAATGGGTAGAATTATTATATTAATTATTAGAATTATTATATTAATTATTAAAAAAAGAAAAATGGGTAGAATTATTATATTGATTATAAAAAAGACATTAGGGGGACGAAAGGGAAAGCGTACGGTGAGGTTTTGAACGAAGCGCTGGACGGCCTCCTTGTTCTGATGGTTGAGGAAGCTGTTGAGGGGCAGCATGAAGGGCTCCTTGTCGCCGAAGGCCACCTCGTTCATGAGGTTGTTGACCATCTTGGACACGAGCAACAGCGTACGCGGTGTGCCCTCTTTGACCTCTGCACGCACGTACCACAACAGCGGAGGTGTGCTTAAGACCTAGACCTAGTCCAGACGCGCGCACGCACGCACGAGAACACACGAGGGGAGGAGAGAAGAACGGACCTTGGCCGATGGCGGCAGGGTTGACGATGCCGGGCGAGAGGAAGCGGAGGAAGAGAAGGCTGGCGATGGCCCTCCACTGCAGGTGCGGCCACCGATCTCGCACCTCCAGGCTCGCCGCCCGCATCACCGTCCGCACGCCACTGAAGCACCCACGACCGACCGACCCACAGGTCAACCACCCGCGTGAGGGTCTCGGCCTGGCAGGGCACAGAGGAATGAAGGAATGTGAGGAGGCCGTACACGGGGCAGAACTCGGCTGATGCGCAGACGTGGTCGAGGAAGGTCTGCGCCAGGCCGATGAGCTTCTTGGCGTTCGCGTCTCTCTCCGTGTCGCTCGTAACTCGCCCAGGGTGCATCTATCACGCAACACACCGCACATGCACAGACACACAGATGCGTAAACAAATAAATAAAATAATAAATTAACACTACATAATGCTGCTAATAATAATTATCATAAAGATTAAAATTACCTCGAGGGGCCGGTCCAAGGCCTCCACGGCCTGGAACAGGGGCTGCGAGCAATATAATCGGTACTCGTTGGCCTCCTGGCCCATGAAGGTGCTCCACAGCCGCACACCGACGCTTTCGCCGCGGAACAACAGGGCCATCTCCTCTGAACGCCGAAATAGGTGAGACATTTCCAGCGTCTATGCAACGTGTGCGGTCGTGTGCGATTGCGATGGCGTGCGGGTGTACCTTGGTTGTGAGCCTTGATGTCGGCGGCGAGAGTGCACTCAAGAAGGTGGCGAATCTTGCCCGCATCGCGATTCAATCGGACCACGCCTTCGAACACCTTCCTCATTTCTTCGCCGCCCTCTTGCATGAGCACCGAATTGAGGAGCGTGCGAATGAAGATGAACCGGTCCCACGAATCCGACAGCAGTGCCTACGGCAACGTTGTGCAGATTGAGCAAATAGCGAAGAACGAAGAGCAAAGAACGAAGAACGACGAAAAAGCGAAAAACAAAAAAAAATGAAGAGCGACTAATGGGGGGCAGGTGCGTACCTCGCTGAAGGCGTGGTAGACGCGATTGCGAATGATTGGAGCGGGTTTGGGAGGAGGACAGGTTTTCTTTTCGGGGGCGGTGGTGGCCGAGGCCGGCGGGGTCTGTGAGTCGAGCATGAACTTGAGCGTACGGTTGCTCCGCTTCTTATCGCCCAGGTTGAGTCGTGGCACATGCAGCGGACACGCTGTAACGCCCAGCAGCGATCGAACATTGTATGTCAGCAACCCATCTCACCGCTCACACCACACACACACACACCCGCACACCCGCACACCGCAAATATAAACGCACATACCATCAGGAGGAGTTCTGGAGTCGAGGCTGAAGTCGTGGCCGTTGCTATCGCTCGACATCTTGAGAGGGTGGGTGCTCTCCTTCTTACGCGGCGATACTGGCGGCATGAAGAAGGAGCGGAGGAGTCCGGCTTTCCTGTCTCCTCGGCTTCCGCTGCCCTCGTCTTTGCTGCTGGGGCTCGAGTCCTCTTTGGCCGCCGCTCCAGCACCCCCGTCCTCCTTTTCCTTCGTCTGCATTCCACACATAGTTAGCACGGCCGCACACGCACACGCACACGCACACGCTCACGCTCACGCTCACGCTCACGCACAGAGCCGCGCGGGCGGTACCGACTGAGCATGCTGAATGAGGAGGTGCGCCTGGGCCTGGTCGCACAGCGCAAAGTCGGAGATGTCGATGCCAAAATATTTGGCTTCCTCCAGGGTCTGCAGGACGGGGCTGCACGCAAAGACCATCACCGACTTGGCCTTGTACCACACCATCTGCGCATTGTATCCTGAGCTTAGTGGTTGTGTCGTACGTGTGTGTCGTACGTGTGCGAGTAGGGTGATGTGTGTCGTGTCGTGCGCACCTCACCGCATAGCAGGAGCTGCTTTTGGTCGTCGTACTGGTGGACGAGGGTGAACGGGGTGTGCTTTCGCTTGGAGTGGATGGCGCGGAATTGAGGGAAGGCGCAGGTGTCGGGGTCCTTGATGGCGAAGTGCTGCGACATTGGGTCACCCTGCTCCATTGGCACCACCTTTTGCAACGACTGCACACCACATAAAAACGAATAATTAAAGAAATATTAATAAATCAAAAAATAAGGAAATATAAGAATAATTAAATAATATAAAATATAAGAATAATTTCAATAAAATAAAATAAAATAAAAATATGTCGGGGTTCAAACGCACGGCGCCAGCTTGGACGATGTTGCACTCCTTGTCGAAGGCGACGTGGAAGGGGAAGAGGCGGGATACGCCCTTGGCGCTAAGTCCGTACTTGACCGGCATGAGGTCGTCGATCAGGGTCGAAAGCTCTGTCGATGGGCTGTCCTCGTCCGCGTCGGATCTCTGAGCGCACCAACACAATAATAAGTAAGCAAAGAGATATTAGGGAGCTTAAAGAAAATGTTCCAATCACCTATCAAACGTATTATAATAACCATTACATTTTCAAAGTAATAGAAATAGGAAAATAAGGTAGGTTATGAGGTGAGTGTACAGAGGCACGTACCGCAGGCGAGGCCCAGGTGATGAGGAAGACGTCGGTCTGGTGCTTCTCCCGGCTCTTAATCTGTTCTACGGTGACGTCGGTGCACTTGAGCATGTCCTCCACGAGACCCCGAATCGCGCCTGTGCTTCAGCAGAAGCAGCCCAGCGGCGTGCGCGTGGTCAGAACCTGCTTGGCTACATCGCGAGGAGTGCACCGAGATGCGACCCGGGTGTGCGCGTACCGTTGACGAAGGGCGCCAGCCCGACTCGCGACTCCTTGCCCGGCGTGTAGTGCAGACGCACACTGTTGGCCTTCTTGTTGGTGCAACGAAAGGTGGGCGATGCGATCTGCGCGTCGAGGCGAGTGCACCACAAACGCGGTGAGCCTCACGTGGCCCGTTTCTTCAATCGGAGTAGAGCAGACATAGAGAGCCAAGTGAGGGCGTGGGTGGAACGGACCTCGGGGAAATGGGCCACTTTGAGGAGGTGGGCGTGGAGCTTGTTGATGTTGCACAGGATGTCGATGGGGTTGTTGCCCATCAGCTCCAGCAGCTGGCCGTGGGCCGTCTTCTTGTGCGTGTAGGCGATGAAGTGGCGACCGGCGATCTCCAGCACGGTCTCGGCGGTCACGTTCAGCACCTGCACCCACGGATCCGACGTCAAGTCAGCGCCCGCGAGAGGTTGAGCACGCGAGAAGAAAGAAGAAGGTGAACCAGAACGAAGGTGGGAAGTGAGGAAAGGTCGTGAACGACTGGTACAGTACCTTGCAGGCGGCAGCGACGACGTCGTAGAGGCCTTTGTCGTCGTAGGCCTGCATGGCGATGAACTCGCCCCCGCCGGCCGGAGCGGCACGGGAGAGGGCGAGAATCTTGAGCCAGGCCGCCTCGCCGAACTTGCTCACCACGCAATCCTAATAATAATGTTTTTGTTATTTATTTGTTTTGTGGGTTGTCAGAAACGAAGAGAGAAGAAACAAAAAATAATAAATAATAGGAGGTGTGGGGGCTATTTTTTTGGCATTAAAGAACGAAAACGAAGAAAGAACGAAGCTGCGGGGGTACCTTGACGGCGAGAAAGACGTGCCCGTACATGGTGTGGCCTCGTTTCGATTGTTGTGGGTTGTGGACTCTGAGGCACTTTGCCCCACTTGTTCCTCGTCTCCGCAGTCACCCCGCGGAGTCATCTCCCTCTGCGTGTTGGTTGGTCGCCAGCGTGGCGGAGGTGATGTGCTTCATTAATGTTAATGGTTGCAGGACTGTTGCGGTGTTGCGAGGATGTTAGTCCACGGGATACGTATTAATTCATCGGCGTCTACCTAAGCGGGAAGCCGTCAAACGCGAACTCAGGTGACACCGCGAGACAGCCGTCGGCAGCGGAGTCCTTGCTGGGCTGTGTCACGGCACTACCCTCGTGGACTACGGCGGAGAGCGGAAGTGAGCGCAGCACGATGTGCTGGACACGGTGGTCGCCGGACGTGGCAGTGCACCACGCGTGAGGTGCGGTGCGGTGAAGTCGGAAAAACGACGGTTCAGGACGGGCAAGGATCGAACTCGCACCTCAGCCTAGGCTAGACTACGTGCTACCACTTACACCACCGCCCCACCAACTGCCACTCCCCGTGCGTAAAGGGCACCGACTGAATTCAATCAGTGGTGGTCGATGACGGCGACCATCCAGCGGAAGGCGGGTGTGAGCGATGCCCCTTCTCCCGGTTCGTCTATTAGGTCCATTGGTGGAAATGGATCGAGAAAAGAATGGAATGCCAAGCATGTTGTGATTAGCGCGCGGAAAATGGAACGGAATATCAAGTGGTGAACACGGCCAGCGAAAGAGAAGCCAAACCCAGCAGCAAGGTAAGATTACAGCATGAATTAATAAGCAATTGTTGGGCGAAACTAGTTTTTTTTGATTGTGAGTATCGCCAAATATTTATTTGATTTATTCGTGTTTACTCTCGTCCAGATGCAAGGACTGCCTCCTCGCCCTGGTGCTCCCGTTTTACCGCAGCGCGGCCACTCTGGTCCCGGGCTGCCCCCGCGGCCGGTCAGCGGCCACTACTGCGCTGCGCTGCCGCCAGCACAGCAGCCCACCCTTCCGCCACGAACCCAGCAGCCGCCGCCTCATCCTTCCCTCCCGCCGCGCACTTTTGTCGGCTGCGTCGGAGGCGGCAATCCCGGGCCGAGCTCGCCCTCGCTCCCCGCCCGGCCCATGAGCGCTCACCACGCGCCGGGCCACCAACAGCCGTCCCTCCCGCCGCGCTCGCCGACGCAACAGCACCACGGCTCGGCCTCGGACCAGCCACACGCGGCGATGCCCCAGCTGCCCCAGCGGCCGCAGCAGCAGCCCGGGCTGCCGCCGCGCACGCAGGGCTACGGCGGGTCGCCCGCGACGCAGCACCGGGTCATCGACGACGGGTCGTCCCTGCCGGCACTCCCGGCCGTGCCCGCGCGCTCGTCGTCCTTCAGCATGGAATCCATGCAGCACGCTCTGCCTCCCCTTCCCACACCTTACCAAGGTGCGTGTGCGGTGTGTGCGGTGTGTGCGGTGGCAGAGACTGATATTCTTGTGGTACGGACCGTAGAGACGGGAGATGACCGGACCCTGCCGCCGCCGCCGCTTCCGGGCCGAATGCGTCAGAACACGGCGCCGCCGGCCTACGCCGCGGCCGCGGCTTCGCACATGGGCCACATGTATGTAAATATATATATACTCATCCCTCTGGCTATGCGATGTCGTGTCTTACCACATGTTGTCTGTGCGTGCGCTTGTGGTCACTAGGGCGTCTGACGCGGCGCTGAACGAAGACAACCAGCGGCAAGCGGGCGAGGCCATCGCGGGCGCCGCTTCCAACCGCCAGTACCAGCAACATGTAAAACGCACTGCGCGCACACCACCTCCCCTCTCCCCGACGTCTTCTTGCGCTGACGTGGTGTCATTATTCTCAAACGAACGACGCATCTGGGCGGCCAGATCGCGCAGAGCAGCTCCAACCCGTACGTCGCCTCCGTTGCCTCCAACGCCCAGGTGCAGCAAGGTGCATACCGACCAGGCTGGTCATCGACCGACGACCGTCCTCCACTCGCACTCGCACACGTCAACTGATCGTCTGACTACTGGTCACTGGGTGGCGGTGGCGGGCGCCCAGGCGTTGGTAGCATGTTTTCGGGTCTGGCCAAGAATCGAGCCGTGCAGCAGCGGGCCGGCAGCTATGCTGCGCAGGCGGCCCAGAGCGAGCATATGCAGCACAACGTCGCCCAGGGCGTAGCCTCGGCCTATCCCTATGGCGGTACGCTCTGCGCACGACGCACAACCGCACACGCCACACGCCACACGCCACACGCCACACGCCACACGCCACACGCCACACGGCACACGGCACACGGCACACGGCACACACGACACGACGTTGACCCTTTCTTGTGTTTGGCCACAGGTCAACAATCAGAGCAGACTGGCTATCTCGGCTATGCGGACCCGCATGGACAGTATGGCCAGCACCAGCAACCGCCACTTCCGCCACCGCCCGGTGCCGGAGGAGAAGAGCTGCCGCCCGAGGTGGAACAGGCTGCCCATTCGGCCGCCACCTACGTCACCAAGAGGTGCGCTCACCACCCACCACAGACTGAGTGCGGTGTGCTGACCGCGTGCGGTCTCCCTAGGGCTGGCGATGCGGCGGCACAAGCAGCGCTGGACGAGGGCAACCAACGCAAAGTAGGCGAAGCTGTGGGCTCGGTGGCGACCAACAGGTACAATACCACTCACGACGCCGCGTGAGCGCTCATGGCTCGCCTCGACTCACCACATTGTGTTGGGATTTGATGTTCTAGCGAGTACCAGGCCAAGCTGGGCAGCTCGATCGCGTCCAATACGGACAACAAGTACATGGCCAAGGCGGCCTCCAACAAAACGCTCCAAAAGGGCACCGGCAGTGCGATCGGCTTCCTGGCCCGCAACAAGACTGTACAAAAGAAGACCGGCTCGATGATCGCCAAGAAAGCGCAGGACGAAGAGCTACAAAAGAAGGTACGCACATACCGCACACACAGCACACACCGCACACACCACTCACGCATTACGTCTTAGGTGGCGGACGGCATGGTGAGCGGCGGCAAACAGGCCGTGACGTCGGGCAGGGAACAGACCCACGGACCCGACGCGCATCATGGGGCGACTCACGGACCGCCGCCGCCACTGCCTCAGCACCAGCCGCCTGGCGGGTCCTCGTACTACGCCGCAGCGGCACAAGCCGGAGTGCACAGCATGGGCGGCGCACCACCGCCTCGACCAGCACCGCCGCCGGCCGCTTACTACAATGCGCAACCGCAGCAGCCGCCGCACCACTACCACTGACAACTGCCGAAGCTGAAACACAAATGATTCAAATTCCTACTTTTTACTTGCCGATAAAGCAGCCTAATCGTAACTATTTAAAGTAGTCAGCTCTTAGCACCCAATCGGCAGTCCCACTCTCGCGGCCATCCCTCCGTTTGGCCAAGTGAAGTTTCATCAGCTTCGAAAGAAAGTTGACCACGAGGGCCGAACTGGCCCGTTGCGTTGCAGGCGAGTTTGCCGACGGAGACGATAACCTGGTCGTACACGCAACCAGCCAACCACCCGAACGCAACCGCAATGTGTCATTTTCGTTCCTGTTGCCAGCGGAATTTCTGAATAATTTTGCTGCGAGAACACTACGGCAGGTGCCCATATAAAGTGCCGGCGAAGCACGACCCAAACATCAGTCTCATCAGCATCAACAACAAAACCAACACAACCACAACCACCTCTCCAGAAAAGAAACCTCTCCCCCGACTCTGTCTTTTCCCACAAGTCCCTCCTCACGACACACAAACCACACAATGGCCACCGCGATTACTATGTCCACTCCCGCCCCCGTCGACATCGCCAACGACCTGGCCCAGAAGCTGCTCAAGGACTACGGCCTGACCGCCCCAGTTAGCGGCTCACAAGACCAGCAGGACTACGACAAGGCCGCCGGCGCGCCCCAGCAGCAGGTACCGAAGAAGGAGCGTGACCCGGCCGTGGCGGCCGTCGAGCAGGCCGTGCAGAAGATCGTGGCCTCGATCGACGCCAGCGTCAACCCCGAGACAGGCAAGGCCTACACGCCCGCCGAGAAGCTCAACCTGACCAAGGACCTGACCGACTTCACGGGCGTCGTGGAGGCCTTCGTCAACCAGCGCGGCAAGGTCATCGACTGGCAGCGCATCAACCCGCCGCCCAAGGACATGATCGTGCCCTACGCCGAGCTGGCCCCCGTGGCCGAAGGCCGCCAAGGGCGCCTACCTGGACAAGCTCGTCGTGCTCAAGCTCAACGGCGGCCTGGGCACCACCATGGGCTGCGTGGGTCCCAAGTCGGCCATCGAGGTCCACTCCAAGCACACCTTCCTCGACCTCATCGTCCAGCAGATCACTGTACGCACCTCTCCCGCACCTTCGTCTTCGTTCTTCGTTTTAGCTCCGAGATTTTGACATTTTTTAAAACTCCGATGTAACGATACTGACCTGGTGTGTGTGATGTGATTGGCGTGTGCGCACGTGCAGCACTTGAACAAGGAGTACAAGGCCAAGGTGCCGCTGGTGCTCATGAACTCGTTCAACACGCACGCCATGACCCAGGCCATCCTGGGCAAGTACGACGCCAACGAGCATGTCACCATCGAGACCTTCAACCAGAGCCGCTACCCGCGCGTCCTCAAGGACTCCCTCCTCCCGCTGCCCGAGGACATCAACGGCAAGGCCGACGAGTGGTACCCGCCCGGCCACGGCGATGTCTTCCCCGCTCTCGTCAACTCGGGCCTTGTCGACAAGTTCCTCGCCGAGGGCAAGGAGTACATCTTCATCTCCAACGCCGACAACCTTGGCGCCACCGTCGACCTCAGTACGTCATCTGCGCCGCCGGCGATTTTGTTCTTCTTTCCTGGCCATCGTTCTTCTCTCTTTTCCTTTCTTTTCTTTTCTTTTCTCAACCCAAGTGGCTCACAATCCATCGATCATCATTGTGACAACAACCAACAGACATTCTGAAGCACATGGCGGACACGGAGAGCGAGTACGTGATGGAGCTGACGGACAAGACGCGCGCCGACGTCAAGGGCGGCACGCTCATCGACTACGAGGGCCGGCCCAAGCTGCTCGAGATCGCGCAGGTGCCCGCCGACAAGGTGGACGAGTTCAAGTCCATCAAGAAGTTCAAGATCTTCAACACCAACAACCTGTGGGTGCGCCTCGACGCCATCAAGCGCCTCATCGAGAGCCGCGCGCTCGACGCCATGGACGTCATCCCCAACCAGAAGGCCGTCAACGGCCTCGCCGTGCTCCAGCTCGAGCGCGCCGCCGGCGCCGCCATGGAGTACTTTGGCCGCGCGCAGGGCGTCAACGTGCCGCGCTCGCGCTTCCTGCCGGTCAAGAGCTGCTCGGATCTCTTCCTCGTGCAGTCCAACATCTACGCGCTCGCCGACGGCGCCCTCGTGATGAACCCCAAGCGCGAGTTCGGCGCCACGCCCGTGGTCAAGCTGGGCGAGCAGTTCGCCAAGGTGGCCGAGTACAAGCGCCGGTTCAAGAGCATCCCCGACATGATCGAGCTCGACCACCTGACCGTGTGCGGCGACGTCACCTTCGGCGCCGGCGTCAAGCTGGCCGGCACGGTCATCATCGTGGCCAACCACGGCGACCGCATCGACATCCCCGACGGCACCGTGCTCGAGAACAAGGTCGTCTCTGGCAACCTGCGCATCCTCGACCACTAGAGACGCCGATCAGCGCCACTACAACCATCATCATCATCATCTCGCCCGCCACGACCGCGACTTAGGAGAGGGAGCGGATGGCTCCTCCTCTTCTCACTTCTCTCTCTGGCTCTTCTTTCTCTCTTTGCCTGTAATCTCCCTGCCATTCCTCCACAACATGTGAAATACAAAGCCACACCACCTCTTTGAAACAATTGTTAGAGCCACACCTCTTCTTCACCTTTCTGTTCATCCAAAAAAAGGAAGTGGTGTGGCTCCAAAAAGAAACCTAAGCGGCCTTGGCTTTCCAAACGGAAACGAAGAAATGTGAAGGGCTGTTCGTCCTCGTTCACGCTGATGGGCACCACCACCGTCAGCGCCGCCAGCCTAGTCTGCCGTCGCCCACGCCATCTCCCACCAACTCGCCCACGCCATCGCCCACCAACTCGCCCACACGCACTCCCACGCCATCGCCCACCTCGCCATCGCCCTACTTCACACAGTGGCCCTCTTCAATCTTGTCCCTCTGCTCTCTCCCGCCTACCACCTCGTCCCCGTCGCCCTCAGCCAGCGCCTTCGTTTCACTGCCTCGCCGTCAGTGACCGCGTAGCATTAGGCCTCGACGACATCTCTTCCGCTTCTCATCGGCCTGGTCTCCGATCCCTGCAAGCTCTCGCTTGCCCTCTGCCAGCACCCAAGGGGCTTGGTCTGAGCCAGATATCAGCCCCAAGCCATGGCATACTGCTCTTCTTTTATTCTGAATTAGTAGAAGTCGGGCAGATTGTTGGGTGGACAGGCCCCCAAGTTGTTTCCCACCCGCACCAGCGACACAACCAACGTGGCCGCCCCGTCGCCGCCCGGCTGGTTCCACACACCCACGCCAAAGTGTGTGGTCGTTCCCAGCACGTCGACGCTCACCTCGCGCCAATGGAGCACCGCGTCGACCGCCGACCCGGTGAAGTTCAGCTCGACGTAGCTCGACACCACTGGACACGGCACGCTGGCCACGCTCAACCGCGTGCGGATGGTGGTGGGGTCTTCGGCGCTGGCCTTGCGCCCGGCGAAGCCTGTCGCGAGCGGTACGCCGTCGGCCTCGTATCGGCAGGCGGCCAACCTGTCCGGCTGGCTCTGGCTCTCGACGTATGCCGGCGCGACGCCGCTGAGGCCCAAGAAGAGGAAATTCCTGACATACTGACGAGCGTTGGCCTCGTCGGTGGTGATGGTGCGCAGGGTGGTGGCCAGGCAGATGCTGGGGCTCGTGGTGGGCGTCTGGCTGGGCGACGACGTAGGCGATGTGGTGGACGAAGGTGTGGGTGAGCTCGAAGGCGAGTGCATGCTAGAGGGCGACGATGTGGGCGAGTTCGCGGGTGACTGCGTGATGGAGGGCACGGGCGAATTGGTGGACGAAGGCGAGGGCGTGTTGGACGGCGAGGGCGAGTTCGGCGGCGAATTGGTGGACGAAGGCGAGGGAGTGTTCGACGGCGACGGTGTGGTTGAAGGAGAGGGCGTGTTGGACGGCGATTGAGTGGTGGACGGCGACGGCGTGTTGGACGGCGAAGGGGTGTTTGACGGTGAGGGCGTATTGGAAGGTGACGGCGAGTTGGACGGCGATGGAGTGGTGGACGGCGAAGGCGTGTTGGACGGCGACGGTGTGTTGGAAGGCGACGGAGTGTTTGATGGCGACGGGGTGGTTGAAGGCGAAGCCGTGTTGGACGGCGACGGCGTGTTGGACGGCGACGGCGTGCTTGAAGGCGACGGCGTATTAGAGGGCGACGGCGTGGGCGAGGGGGAGGGCGTGTTGGACGACGACGGGGACGGCGTGTTCGAGGGCGAGTTGGAGGGCGACGGGGTGACCGACGGGCTGGGCGAGGGGCTGGGCGACGGGGACGGGAGGGCTTCGCCGCCGAACACGACACTGTCGATCCGCGAACCGCCGTTGGTGGTGGTGGCGCCGCTAAAGACCAGCCGCACCTCGGCCGAGGCTGTGTTGTCGAGCTCGCTGCGGGCCCTCAGATCTACAGTGACCCCAACAAAGCCGGCCTCGGCCGCGGTGTAGCTGAAACGAGTGGCGTAGTTGGTGCCGTCGGTCGAGGTTTGCACGTCGAACGTGTCGAAGCCGTTGAGCGACGTGTATCTGTATTCGAGGCTGAGTACGACGCGCTGGTAGCCCGTCGAGTCGATGGTGAAGGCCAGGTAGCGCCCGTTGCTCGCCTGACCCTTGAAATCACACGCGAAGCCCCCCGCGTTGCGCGAGTTGTAGGTGATCCGGGTCGGGTCGGCCCAGTCGCTGGTCATGTTGCCGGGGCCGACCGAGGCGGCGAGCGGGAGCGGTATTTGAGCAGCGTCGACCGCCGTGGCCTCAGAGTAGGTCCATTGCACGAAGCTGATAACGGGCGACGGCGACGGGCTGGGCGAGTGCGACGGCGAGCTCGAGGGCGACGGTGAGTTGGACGGCGTGTTGGAGGGCGTGGTGGAGGGCGTGGGCGACGGCGTGGGCGAGGTAGACGGGATGACACTGCCGGAGAAGAGGACATCATCGATCCGCGACAAGCCGTTGGTGGTGGTGGCGCCGCTGAACACCAGCCGCACCTCGACCGAGGCCGCGTTGTTGAGCTCGGTCCGGGCGGAGAGGTCGATGCTGACCGCCTCGAATGTGGTCAAGGCGGTGGTGTAGGTCGAGCGCGAGACAAAGTTGGTACCGTCGGTGGTGGTGAGCACTTCAAAGGTGCCGAAGCCGCCGCTCAGGAAGCGGTAGTCGAGATCGAGGTTGATGTTCTGGTAGCCCGTCGTGGAGAAGGTGAAGGACAGGTAGCGCCCATTACTGGCCGAGCCCTGTAACTGGCCGGCGAAGTTCGCCCCGCGCGTATTGAAGGTGATCTTGGTCAAGTCGGCCCAGTTGCTGTTCATGGCGCCCGTGCCGACAGAGGAGGCGAGCGGGAGCGGTATTTGAGCTCCGTCAGCGGCGCCTGCATTGTCGAACCTCCATCTGACCAAGTTCACGGATTCGACTCCTGAGATGGTGGAGGCCAACCAAACGAGCACCACACCCCAGATGCAGGAGGAGGAAGAAAAGAAAGATGCAGAAGATATGAAAGAGGTTGAGTAGAGGCGGCGCATCTTCGTCAATTGCGTTCTCGTATTGCGGACATCCAAAGTTGTGATGACCATGCCTACAAAAGGATATGGATTTGTTTAGCCTCAACCGCAAAGGCAGGAGGAAGTACTCATTGGAGTTGTAATGAAATTTCTTTGCATACCTCATTCCAACATTCCAACATTCTTGAAGCATGGCCCGGCTCTCCGGGCTAGTGCAAAAGGAAAACAAGAGGGAAAATAAGTAACTTCCACCAGAGGCCATTGATTCATCCGTAATGCGCTGCACCTTGCGCACCAGCCAGCGCTTTGGACACGTGAGTGGGCGTAAGAATATCACATGCGTCGTTGCTTTCCGCCGTCTGCACACTTCTCCCCTCGCCTGCACCGTACTACACGCCCCCCCCCTCTCTCACTATTGCCAACACCCTGCTTTGTGGTGCCACGGAAAGGAAGACCACCAAGAAGAAGGTGCTGTGCTCAGTCTTAACGGCTGGTGGTCCGCAGGGGCACAAAGAGGCCAGTGACGTCAGCCCTGCCGATGCCCCAGCAACAGCAGAGGAGCCGCACCAGCACCAGCACCACCAACACGTGGCAAGCTCGAGAGAGCAGAGGCGGGAGCGACGGCGCGAGCTGCTGGAGGCCGCCAAGCAGGAGCTCGAGTGGCGCGTCTTCATCGCCTCGCGCAAGTCCCACGAGTCCACCACATCTGCGACGCCTCCTCCTCCTCCCTCAGCGGTGACCATTGAGCCCGGTCCTGCCCCTCCTGTCGCTGACGCCGCCGCCAGTCCAACGACCAAGAGCGGCACCACTGCCAACGACGAAGAGGAGCACCCAGGTCCGCCGATTTTCCCGCCGTTGCCTCGCTCGAACAGTGTTGCTAACACGACGCACAACACGCACAACACGCGCAACACGCACACAGAGCGGAAACGGGAAGACCTTGGGCGCAGGATGATGCGCAGGAGGTTGCGCCGAGTGGCCCGTGAAAGCCGAGACCACCGCCTCCCGGTACCCAAGAGAGAGAGAGAGAGGGATTGTGTGTGGTGTGTGTGTGTGTGTGAACGGATCGGGCTGTGGGCTGTGGTCGCTGAAACATGTGCGGCGACGTCCAGGAAAACGTGTGGGGCGCCTTCAGGCAGTTCGAGGTGCTGCTCGCCGAGCCCACGCGCTCGCTGGAGGAGGTGCAGAAGGCGGTGGACGAGTGGTACGGGCGTCTCCCGTTCCGGCCCAACTTCCGCGCCGAGCTTGACATGAGCAAGGCCCTCCACACCTACGTTCCGTTTTGGCACTTTGCCTGCAACACCGCGTGTCAGTACCAGGTGAGGCTCGCAACACCCGCACGACACGACACGACACGACACGACACGACACGACACGACACGCATGACAGTCCTGATGCTCTCCGCGCGGGACAACAGGGTCGAGCACGGATAGGGAGACGCTTCGCGGCCAAATACGGGGAGAAGACATCGGGCACGCTCTCCACGGCGTTCCCCGTGCTCATCTGCGCCGAGGAGCCCACGCCCAAGCGCAAGCCCGTGCTCGCCTCCATCGACGACCTCAAGTGGCACGAGGTGTGTTGCGTGTTTCTTGTTACTTGCGTGTGCGGTGGTGGATGTTGGCCGCTGACGGGGACAGGGCTGCAGGTGAGCGCCGAGGGGCGGCTGGTGTCGCTGACGGCCAGGAGCGAGTCGTCGCTCAAGGAGGTCCTCGACGCTCACCTCCGGCCGACAGATCGCGTGATGGACCTCACCCTGCAGCCGCAGGCCGCCTGGCAGCGCGAGGGCCGCAAGCGGCTGGAGGAGGTCGAGCGCGAGCTCAGCGAGCGAGCCATCATCGAGAGCGAGCGGGCGCGAGGCGTGCTCCGACCCAACAACGACGCCGACGGCGAGGCGTGGGAGGTGGACCTCGACTACGTTGCCCGCACCGATCAGGAGCGTGAGCAGGGCATGGGCCGGGTGAGCCTCGTCCTGGTCCCGGTCTACGAGCTCCACTACCGGTGGCACGGCTTCGAGTACCACCTGTGCGTGCGCGACGGCGACCACGCGGTGGGAAGCCCGCAGCCCGACTCGGGCGAGCGCCCGCTGCCGCTGATCGAGGGCGCGCGGCCCTACTCCTACGCCAAGATCTCGCTGGCCGGGCTGGCCGGGCTCGGCGTCGGCTTGGCCTCCTACTGGATGATCACCCACTGAGACCATCATCGATGGCGCTTGCCGCTAACAAGGCGACTTGCCACCAGAGCAGGCAAAAATATCATAATACGATTTAATATTTAGAATTTTGGCCATTGGGCGACGTTTCGGGCCGCGAAAATTCGACGGACAAAGCGAAAATAAAGGTAAAGCGCCTTTTCCTTGAGCCTTTGGATTATTGCGAGCAACCAACCTGATCTGATTTTCCCCGGTTGATCTGCTTAAGGCTGAGGTCACCTGCGAGTGAAGTTAGTTGGCCAAGTAGGGTCTAATCTTACCAACCGGCCCAGAGCAACGATTGATAATCTCGTTCATTCGAGCAAATCTCGCTTTCATCTTCTCTCTTGGTGGTACGCTTCATCATTGCCCGTAACGCAATGGATTGTTGCCGCCGTAGTTGTGATTCCATCCTTCTTGCCTTAAAAATTGTTTCAATTCTACACGCATTTAAATCTTGCGATTAATTTTGATCTGTTTCTCTAACGAGTGTCACGTCGCGTCGTGCTTCCATCTTGTGGTGCAGGCCCATCAGATATGGAGGCCAATCAGTCATCGGCTTCGCCTAAGCAGCGCGCTGTCGGCGGCAACAACAACAAGAAGGCCAACAAGAAGGCCGACAAGAAGGCCAACGGCTCGTCGTCCCCAGGTGCGGCACCCGTGTTCAAGGGCTCGGCGGCCACCGTCAAGTCCACCTCGAAGGTGGCGCCCGCCTCACCCACCCTGTCGCCCGCCCCGTGCTACGTCACATCCATCAAATCTTCTTCTTCTTCCTCATCGAAGAAGGGAGTCGCTACACAGAAATCTTCATCTGCAGCCGCCTCGTCCACCACCATCCCAGCCAAGAAGGCCAACAAGAAGGCCAGCGCCAAGGCTGCGGCCACTGTGGCGGCCTCGCACGCCAAGGCCCCCAAGGACCTGACCTTCGACGCGACCACGCTGGGCACGCTCGACCCGGCCTACGTCGCGCGGGTCTTCAAGGAGGGCTTCATCTCGGCGCGTGGCTGGGATCACCTGCGTACCGGCTATCGCTACACGGGCGTCGACCACTCCTTCTGCGGCAACCGCTTCCTCTACCTCTGGTGGAACCTCGTCGTCGAACGCTTCGTGCCGCTCTGGGTCGCGTACGTGTGCCGCCCCAACGTGTGCTACTGCTGCCA